CATGCAAAAAACAAGGCCCCATCACGTGGGAAAATTTATAAAAACCCTTAAAATAAAAAAAAAAAAAAAAAAAAAGCTTCTTTACTGTTTGTAACCCCTATTCTTAGGTTTCCTTTATTGTGCGCTATAGAAATTTTCCTCTCTTATTCCTATGCATCATTTATATGGTTCTTGTTTTGGTATAATTCCCCATAATATTCCAGAATGTACTGTTTTGTGAGTAGACAGAACAGTTTTTTTTTTTTTTGCTTCTTCACATCCAGTGCAGAGTTGTAATTGGAGACAGATTTCCACCCACAAAGGCTCCAGATGTTAAAACGTTTCCCAACATCGACTTAATACAGTGACGGCAACACCTCCCTCCCGCCCCTCCCAGTAGGGTTGGGATTGTAGTACTGTATTCCCTACTGGTTTACCCTTCCCCCCTGTAAAGGGTAACATTTTCCCTGGGTGCAGAGGCTCCCTCATAGTCTCCAAGACCGAAGGACCTGTAAGAAAGAAAAAAAAAAAACAATTTTATACTTTTAACAACTGTTTCTCTTAAAGCTAGCGGAAGACAAAATTAATCAAGTAACAATGCTATCTCTACCTAAAGAAAATGAGAAATTGAATGAATTGCCTAAGATAATCATTGATAATCAAGTTGTTTCCTTCTCCTATGGCTCTCAACTACCTCCTGTATTAGATATGAAAAGTGACACCAAGCCGGGGACATGCAGAGAGGTGTGTAGCACTTTATATAGATGAAATTGTAGGATGCTACCAGTCTCATTCTTCACCTCCTTTAGCACAATGGGCCCCAATGGGAACTGGTTATTTCTCACATTTAGTTGCCTTACTTCAAAATTTAATAGCACTTTCTTTAGTAAAAATTAAAACATTATACTTTTTCCAATTTCCCAATATAAAGCTATAAAAATTCAATCCATCAAAAAATAAAGGAGCATAATTTTTGGTTGTCTGATGTTTTTGCTTAGAGGCACCAAAGGTGTTCACACTGCACTAAGGTCACTATATTCAGCAAATATCAAAAAGGAAATTTTAACACTTGTCTTCCAAACCTACTTTACGTGGTCATTTCCTATAGTCTCAGGATTCTTGATTGTCTTGATACGAACTTTTTCAACACTAGCAGTTTTGATGATGAGAAAGACATTAAGAAATAAAGGTAGATTCCTAGGAGACTGTAACTAGTACCTGACAGTAGAACATTCACGACAAAACTCTACTAACCACTCATGCCAAACTTTGGACATTAATGAAGGTTCATGTGAATTCACAGAGGCAATTAAGCCCATCTGTGGAGAAGTACAAGCAACCGCTTTTTTCTGCCTCCGAAAAAAGAGGAGTACAAAAAAGGCAGGAATAAATGATACTGATCCATTTCTATCTCAAATTAGAAAACTGAGAAATATTACGTATCTTGTCTTAGAACATGATCACCACTGTTAATTCATAATTGGTGACATGAGAGAGACCACAGAAGGTAATAAATATGAAAGTGTTCAAGACTTAGCTCACTGTTGAATCTTTTGGCCCTTGATGCTAAAAATCATTCTTATCTATTGCATTCTCATGATATAAGTGATTCAAGCACTTTTCCAAAATGCTAAGGCCACAAAACAGCTTTTAGACACAACCACAGTAGGACAACACACAACAAAGGACTCAGAGACATTCCCGAGGCTGCAAATCTGTTTCTACTGTTTTATAGGTTAATCAGACAATCTGGATGTTAAAAACTCCAACATAAAAGGTAAGTTAATTTGCTATACAATTGCTGGACACACATTTGGAGTACATTCTCTGGCCCTCCAGTAAAATATGTCTCAGGTCATGTCTAAAACCTAAAGAACTAAAACCCCTGGTTCACTGTACTGGCCCATGTTCTTAACATTTATTGAGCCAACTTAGTGTGTTAGGCAATATACTATGTTCTGGCATCACATATAATACTGCATTTAATCCTCAAAAGAACTCAATAAAGGAAATGAAGCTAAGAGACTGGAATTGTTAGTTTGACTTAACATGTACAGAAAAATTCAAAAACAAGAGTCCAAGTGGACTTACCCCTCTTATCATCCCAAATCCAAACAGAATTTTTCACTGCCCAGTTTAAAACAGTGCTGAGCATACAGTAGGTACTCAACAAAATGTATGTTGAAGAGTGACCATTAAATATTCTTAACTACTAAGCCCCAAACCCAGTCCAAATCTACTTGGGTTTTCCCTGAAGCTCACTATATAGAAAGTTCTTGATATATCAGAGACTATAAATTCATGCTTTAAAACTAAACCATTTCTACTCTGCTGTAGTGAATGCTAGTGATCTCTTACAGGGCAAAAAAAGAAATAGTTGAAGCAATGTTAACTAATCTAACCAGCATACCAGCTTGGATTTCTTTCTATCTAGAATTCAAAGTGGAACCATGCATTTTATCTTGCTTGATTGTTCTCTTAAAAAAAAAAAAAAAAAAAAAAAAAAACTCTAGCATTCACTTAAATAATTTTAAAGTCCAATATAGCATGAGATTATTTTATTCAATCACTACAGACAACAAATAGCTTTGATTCTATTCAGTAGTTTCAGACTGCAGTTCTAAGTTTCTTCGTCCTGAAAAATTCCAAACTTCTTACAACTTACCCCTAATTATGGGACTGCAGCTTAAGTTTATGAGGTTAAACACCATAAAAAGCTGCAAGACGCTCTTTTAATGGAGGCGGAAACTGGTCAGAGAAACGCCTCCAATTTTCATCCCCAACTTGATTTTTAAATCCATGAAGGATCTGCAAAGAGTGAAAAAATCATTAATTTAGCGATAACAACAACAAAATCAGATCTGCACAGCTTCTGAAATCAAATACTACTGATTTTATTATTCCAAAATTTTATCCACTTTAAAGTAATTTCAAACTTTGTTGGATTCTATACCATTTCATGCCTTAAAGGCACTTCACTGAATATGCTAAACTTTGTTTTGAGAAGTTTAGATTTCAGCAAGTGTCCTAGTAACAGGTGTACTCTAAGTAATCTCTGACATAACACTTATGAAAAACAAAAAAATATAGAATTCACCCAAGAAATAAACTTTCTATGCCATACTAAGTTTTTTCAAGTAGGAAACATACAGGGTTTTGGGTTCATGGTTGCAACTATAGTTCACTAATTTTAATACTAGGTGATTCAAATAACAGCATTTTACTTCTTATTTTGTTATGGTTAAGTGGTGACTAGAGTTAATCAAAAGGAAGGCAGTGGGGGGTGGGCGCTACTGAAACAAAGAACTATATAGGCTTAATGCCTGTGGAGAACCACTTAAGATTTACTTTGTTCAATATTTTATATTCAAAATCTCAATTGGTTAATGTGCAAAGGTGGGATAATGGGACCACATGAATCAGTGGTATTGCTTGAGAAAATATTTTCAAAGTACATGCTCTATTGATACAGAGTCAATGCTGTATCTTAAAGAAAGATTAAGCCAAATTTCCTTTTCTTTACCAAGAACAAAGATTAGTCTACCAATATTGATATGAAGAGTCTAAGTTTCATATGAAATATAAAAAAAATTTAAACTTTCTGACTAGGACTGTCAACAGTCCCAAGGTGTACATCATAAAGACTTTTTAGTTACCTTACAGAACATGTCCCTCAGATCATCTTTTGGGTTAATCCATGATGCAACAGCATCACAAAAAAATATAAAATCCTGTAACAAGCAAGAAATACATCTTAGATTGATATTATATTTGTCAAACACATTGAAAAATATATGTAAACTTCAGAGTATATATCATGATAGAATCTTAGCTAAAAATTAAAAAATATATCAATGATTATAAAAATGACAGTGATTTTAAAATGATTATAAAAATTATAGTGATTAGTTAATGGTTGTCCCTATTGCTGCACCATAAAGGAACCTCTACACATTAAGTTTATACTGGAATTTAATGCTCTTTTGTATTTTATTTTGTATCACAAAACAAAACCCCAGTCTAGTAAACATTTAGCACCAACAAGAATGGACTCAAAGCACCAAATGAGCATCAATTAAAAAACTTTCATTTACCATATTAAAGGATTATATAAATCTAAAATCTTACAGTTATGTCTAGCCTAAAAATAATTTAAAGTTAGTTAAAAGTATATACCAAGTAAGCTTAACGTAAAGCATAGGAATTAATAAATTTAAATTTGAAGACCCATATTAAGATAGAAACTTAAATGCAATGACCAAAAGTTAGAAGTAAAACTAATTATGTAGTTACAAATAACACCAAACTCAATCCAATCCAACCCAATGCCTCAAACAAAAAAGAACAAAACTCAAACAAAAAAGAATGACAGACCCAATGCTCAGACAATTATTTAAAAGATAATCAGGTTATTCTGACTATAATAAGGTGACAACAGGCATATGCTTTAAATATTTCATTAAAGTATTTTTAAATATTGACTATCATGCTGAAACAAAAATCCAACAGACAACAGTCAAGGTATTGCTGATGCTCTGACATGTCAACTACTTTCAATTTTACTATTATATTCAGAAAATCTAATTTCAAAACTTACTAATACTAAAGTATGTGTATAAAACACATATTTAAGCAAAAAAAAATCCCATGCTCCCAAAGTTCATGGTTTATTCAAATTATGTTATGTCTTCCAAATATCAGTCTAATGTTAAAAACTTAAATACACACATGTCTAGAACTTGTGAATAAAAATTAAAACATAAAAAATAAAACGACATTTTCTTTTAAACATATCCAAATACATATGTAAAAAGTAGAAATTTCTACAATTCTTAAACTGGTAGTGATTTCTTGACTATATTTGCATATGTTACTTTGAATATTAATTCAAAAAAAGAAAAAGCCCAACTAAAATCCCGGTGGAAAAATGCTCCTTTTTAACATAGTATACATCATATGTCCCTAAAACACATTTAAGTTGACACAAGATCTTAAATATTGAAAGAAACTTAATGATAGGAGGTTCTTCTGCAATTAGAGACCATCTCTAAAGACAGTACTAACTTGTTTTAATAGTAAGTCATTAATGTTTTACAAATGTGAAATTAATCAAAAGTTTTTTTTCTTGTTCTAATTTGTAAGTTTTCGAAGCCTATCACTTATATCAAACTGAATTTTATAAGCTGGTAATGTATGTTTTTCTAAACCTTAATTAAAAAAACACAGTTAAGTAATACAGGACAGGAAACACCAAAACATCTCAATTAAAAAATGTCTGAAGCACCCATCTCTTGAAAGTGAAAGGTTATTTTCTTGAAAACTCCACCCATACTTTATTTACAATTTATCTGTTGAGGAACTCAGGGCATTTAACTTAGACTCTCATAGTTTGTATTTTGATTTCATATACATGGTGTCGATCAAAATGTTTGTTTTGTGTCTTGCAAATTGGCGGTTGGGTCCAGAGGTCTGATCAGACTCATGCTTGAAATCATTGGCAAATAATTTTTTAAAAATGCTCAATATAATACGAACTAAGACAGGAAACAAAATAAAGACGAACAAATCATAAGCTCTCAAAATCAAAGCAGTTTCAACGACTGATTCAGTATTTTATTTTAGTCACCACTGAGTTTCTAAGTTATAGAAAGAGTACCCTAGTATTTGGTCACTCTCTTAAGTGCATATATCCTTGAACTCAACGAATTATTATTTAGAAATGGGAAATACATACAAAGTAAATAAATGAGGTCTAAATGTGAATAAAAGAAACTCTGGCTTAATTCAATACAAGAATAAAATTTTATTCTTCCAATCTGCTATTACCATATTTCATGATAAAAAGATGTAGGAAATAAAAATCAAGCACTAATGTTTCAAGATATTAAAAAATACATATTTTAAATATATAATTTGTTAGAGTATCTTTGAAAAAATATGTAATATATGTAATATTTTTATAATTAAAATGTTCAAATATTTCCCTCTTTAAAGTTTCATTGTAAAAACAAATCTCTGTAAACATCTTACTTGGATTACTCCACTGGGATTCACACTGATCATGGTACAAATCCCACGAAATGCCGAATCCTTTTCCTCATTGTCCCTTATGTTTCTCAGAGAGGTGCACCTATTGAATTATAGAACTGAGTTTAGCATTTAAGTAAAAGGCAGGTTCAATTACAATACTAATGAACAGTATTTAATGGAATAAGCACCACAGTATGTTTATAGTCAAAGACTTTTCATCAAGTTTCTCACACTTCCTGTATGTGGGCCCATCTAATCTCAATATAATGAAAGCCCTGAAATTCACATTTTCTTATTAATAGATTTCATCTATGAAATGGACAATTGATTTTAATCTCCCATTTAAACTATTAATGAGCTTGAGCCAAGAGTAAATTACTTATTTTAAAAACTGTATTATGACTTGTATTCCATTAAACACTACTAAAAATGACTTGAATTGAAAGATTATCAATTGAAAGAAGCAGAACATAGGATATACTGCCACAATATAAACTATTATTATAGAACTTATGGTGTAGATGTTTAACTTTTACATTAACAAGCAAATAAGATTTTTATACATAACAAATTTAAACATGTATTTCTTAATGCAATCCAAGTTTCCAAATTAATTCTAAAAAAGAAACATAATGCAAAAACCTAAATTTATAGAATTTGCATGCATCTTTAATTTACTGGTGGATATTTAAATGCTTTTTTATGTATAATCAAGCTTTTTAACACAGCAAGCATGTGACAATCTTATCCCATGCATCAATTAGTCGTTAGCCACAACATAAAATAAATATACATGACGATGCTACTGAAAACCTCACAAACCTGATAGGACAAGATTAGTCACATGGTTGGCAATGATTAAGGATTGTGATTTTGTAACCAACTGAAAATATATCTAAAAGTGAGATAGAAAGAGAAAGAAAGAGTGAAGAAAAATGAATTAAAAAAAAAAGATTGAATAATACACACCAGGGTCTTATAAACTGCTGTAGCATGGGGGCCACCTCTTGAGGACAAACGTAACCAAGACGACCAATTGTTATTGCTAAGGTAACGCAATCACGGTTATACACCACCAAACGCCAACCAAGACATGAGCAAATGAGGGGGAAGGAGAAAAAATAAAGAAAAAACAACAAATAACTCAGAAACAGAAACCAACAGAATTTGTGTATGATAATAAACATAAGATTTCACCAGTGCTGTTTATTACCACCCCCTAAAATAAGGGGCAGCAACATATATGGCATACTCTTAAAAAAGGAAAAACAAAAGGAATTGAAAAAACTTTAGATTGAGAGAACACCAAAAACCATGATGAATTGCTTTTCTCGCTCAATGAAGTATCAATATACCGTTTTCAGTTAATAAAAAGATGAGCGATTAAGTGGATGATTTAGAAGTTTTTCATTCAAAGACAGTTGAAATTTCAGAGTAATGAAATCTATGTTTTTTCCCCAAGAAATATTAGTAAATGTGAATGATTACATTTCTGAATAATCTACTCAAGCACACGTCTAAGAAGTTAAAACAGTTAAAATTTCTCATTTCTCCACAACCTTTTTATAAGTGATTGTTATTCATTGAAAATTATCTAGGAATTTAATCCAAATTTTGGTAAAGTTTTTTTGTTTGTCAACATTTCCAAATCAAACCAGTGGACCATTTGTTGCCTGCTATCATAATCAACTGTTAAAAACTTCGGGAGTTATGGTACACACTGAATGGACTGGAAAATTGCTGTGCTATGTCAAATCTCATTCCAAAAACCTTCTAATGGTGATTACAACTCAGCAGTAATAGTCTACTAATTTCATACCATATTTGACAAAAAGGAAATTTAGACAGTCCACTGTAATGACATATGATATGTGGACCAAAGGAATAAACAAATATTCGGTTTTTGCTATAAAAGGCATAGCACAAAAATAGTTAATACATTATACCGATTACAAGCTAATATTTTATTTAAAATGGGAATTAAACACATTCGCCATCAAAATTCAGGAAGTCCTGAAACTTACAAAGAGCTAATAAAACAAGTGCAACTCAAAACTGCATTCTGCAATTCAAAGGTACATACATATAAATACATTTATACACAACGGGAAAAAAAAATACAAACAGAAAACAAACCATGAGGTGCTTTAATGTAATGGTGTTCTCTCAAAAACTTACAGGTTAACCTTTCATAAAAAAAGGGTGGGGGTGGGGGGGTAAAGAAAAATGTTTTAGGATTACTTGAAGCAAACTACACAGATAATACTAAAATCCAGCAGATTCATATGAAGCAAGAGAAAGAAAACCTATGCTCAAAAGACACAAACTATGCAACATTCTCATTAAACAGGCAAGTATGAACAATCCAATGAAACATGCGATAAAGCAGATGATGGTCCATTGAAAAAGTTCAGTGTAGGATATACTAATTTGAAAAAAGCAAATAACTGCACACACTAAAGAATTGGCTTTATGAAATATTAAGATAACAGTAATTAAGTTGCTAAAATCTATAGAATTAGCCATTGACAATGACTTTACTTATTAATTACTCCCCCCGCCCCTTTTGAGTTTTAACAAATAAAGGAAACATTTTCTGCAGCCACTTGTAGTAAGAGTAATCCAGTGAATACCAAGTGTGTTTTTCAATCACATCAATTCAGTACATCAATTTGAAGGGTATTATCAATTACCTTTTGATTTACTTAGGGTAGAATCATACTTAGAAGATAATCTTATAGATAAAGCCAATTAGAACAAATCACCAACTGATATCCCACAAGAAACTTTAAAATACATTACACTCAACATTTATTTGCAATTATGCATTCACATTTAAAAATAACCAGGAAGTTTCTTTAGGTTCAATAGTAATTTTATAATAAACAAGTGTTCTAAATCTGAATGTCATGTATAGGTACTGCATTCTAAAGAGAAAAAACCTGACAAGATTTCATAACGATCCTATACACACATTTTTATACTTTTAAGCAAGAATATCTAATTGACTTGATGATATAAACAGTACCCATACAGCCAAACAGCCAATAACTGTTTCACAATTAAAAGATTTCCTTCCATACCAATAAACATCAATTTTAATCACATTAGGCTACAAAAAACTTCCTAACTAAAAAATACAAAATTAAAATGCCTTTGAAACAAATTTTCATATTAAAAAAAACCTTAATCTTTGTCCAGTTTAGTAAGACTCTCATTGACTATGAATAGAATTATCTTAGTATATAAAGAAATGTGCATGACTGAAGAGAAAATTTACAACTTTTATCATCGTTAGCAAAAATTGAAGAGGGTGGAAAGAAATCACCCTGAAATGTGTTCTATAGTATGGAAGGTACTCTTTAAACATGCTCTCTGTAAATGCAAAAGAGAAACAAGCCTCCTGAATAAAAATCCCACAAGGTACTGAGTACTGCTTAAATTCCCAATTTGCAGGAAAAGATACAATGAAATAGAAAATACGTATGTGCCGTTGTAAACCAATTAGCCACTACGCTATCTATCCTTGGCCACATTTTTACAGATTAAAAAAAATCATTACTTCCCAGCTCTCAGTTACTCTCTGAATTGATGTAAAATTTATATTGTTCAATAGTTATTTTAGCTGGGGTTCATTTTTGGGAGTACTGAAACACTACAATAGGGGAGAAGTGTTTTTTGAAAGTTTCTGAAAACTAGTTATGGAATACAGCTAAAACAGAACATTTCACTGCTCAGAATCCAAAATAGCTGTTAAAAAACTGAGTTTCTAAAACTAGCTTTGGTTTCTCTACGCATCTTAACTTAAAATTAAAAGTCAAGTAATTTTCTCTTCACCAAAACAGTTCAGTCATATGGTACCTGTATTCTCTAACAACGTCTTTGGTGTGTTGGGTCTGTTAATGATTTCTACAAGCTGGTGCAACACCATAGGAATATAAGGCTGCATCTCTATACCTAGATCATCCCCAAGAGAAAAACAAAAGAAAAATTTGAAATGTTAAAATATCAGTTTTGCTCTTTTTATTAACTGTGACATAAACTATTTATAAATATATAAAGCTCATTTATTTTAAAAAAAGGCAATTACAAAAATATTAAGGCATCTAAAACTTTATACTATTAAAGAAGAGAAAAATCTTACCCATTTGAATGGAGATTTCTCCAATTGCCCATGTGGCATTATTGCAGACTGAAATGAACTCTGGATTTAGGTTGGTTCCCAATATTGGCATGAAATCAGCTACAAAAAAAAAAAATGTTTTAAAAAACTATGTAGTAAACTTATCAATGGCAGTGAACTATACTTTAAAGACAACCTACTAGATGGAAACTGAAATATAGCCAAGAAATAGCAGTATTTTAAAGATGTTGGTAATATTTATCTTAAGTAATTGAAGGAGGCAATATCTGAACTCTCATATAAAGCAGACCAGGAAAAATAAGTTTTGGTATATTTCAGGTATTATTAAAAAGGAGTTGGTCAGATAATCCTCTCATCAGACAGAAAAATCAAATTAAAAGTGAGGAAAACACGATACAATAGGACTTTCTTCAAAGCTAGTTTTTCACACACACAAAATATTGTTTTAAATCAATGACTTTGGTTTTTAAAATAACTTTTACCATAGTGCTCAGATTGTGGTCTCTCAATATAATTCTCCATTTAAAAGGAATGAATGAGGGCTCTCAGAAAAGGAAAAGAAATTACCAAACTAACATGAATGGACTCAGGAACCAACTAAAGCTCCCACTGCCTGCAAATAGGACAATTTGAGTATTGTTGAGTTCATACTGACACTCAAAAACCTAAATTCTGAAACATAATATAGATATCTATGAAGGATGCTGGGAATCAATTCATTATTTTGAAAACTGGTAAAGAGAACCACTAATTATCCTGCCTCGTCTATCTATACGATTTGTACCTCAAGAGTAATAATTTATTGATATGGAAAATGTCTATATATGTATTCTCACTGTTAAGTGAAGATTTAGAGTATTATCATTTTTTTAACCCCCAATAAATTAGTGGGTCTAAAACCAGGGTTTCTCAACTTTAGCTATAGATAATTTGGACCAGCTCATTCTGTCGTGGGGGTCTGTCTTGTGCATTGTAGGATGTTGAGCAACATCCTTTTCCTCTATATACTATACCAGTAATACATGCCTAGTGTTAAACAAAATGTCTCCAGATGTGACCAAATGTTCTTGGAGGCGGGGAGGGCAGGGCGCGTGGCACACAATATTGCCTTGGTTGAGAATCACTAATCTAGAAAGTAATCACCATGGTTGATAACATAAAAAAAAGAGAAAACTAGACTCTGTGTACACCCTAAAGAATGTACACATGATCTACATAAAGTCATAAACAAAATCCTTCCGTATAACTTTAAACTCATAAAAATTAAATTAGCTGGTAAATATTTATGTAAAGACCAAGCTTTACATAAAAACAGAAATGCACCACACTTTCATTTAGAATAGTTAGGACTGAACTTAATGGTTTATTTTAATACATAATTAATGTTATTACTCAAAGTTTAGAAGTGTAGTTATTATTCAAAGTACAACTGGGAACTAGGCGAACATAGTCAAAAACTATAAATTTCAAGTTATAAAAAATAAGTTCTGGGGACGTAATGTACAACATGATGGCTATAGTTAACAATACTATAATGTATATTTTAAAGTTGCTAAGAACACATCTTAAAAGTTCTCATCACAAGAAAAAAATCTTTGTAAATACGTGAGATGAAGGATGTTATCTAAACTTTGGCAATCATTTCACAATATATACACAAGGTATACAACATATCAAATCATTATGTTGCATACCTTAAACTTATATCAATTACATCTCAATAAAACTGGAAAAGAAAATCGCAAAGTGCATCTATATCAAATGAAAATACTTTTAAGGTCAATGTTCTAAACAAAGGTTTATTAAATCATGTAGTATAAACAACTATCATCCGAAATGATGGGATATAGAAATGAACAGAAAAATCAACAAAACCCCATTTAATCCATGGGTTTGATAGCAATTTAAGTTATATTATTCAAGGAATCCCTTATTATCTTCACAGAAGGCTAACACAAATGCTATGATTTTACAACAGAAACAAACCATTATACTTTTAAAGTAAATTATTTGAAGAGTTTTCTATGATATCTGAATCTGATTTAGCATAAGAAAACCTGATTACTTCTGGGTACCTCTACTGCTTAAAAAAAGAGGTTATTCAAAGTATCCGTGCATGGGCATATAGTCCCCAAGCCTTCAAAGGCAGGCATATCCTTTATACTAAATTAATACTTTTCAACTTTTCTCCAGCCATGAGTGACTAACAAGCTGCTGAAGTGATAGTGAGTTCGAGAAACAAAGAACAGGAGGAGTTCCCATCCTGCTTGCTGCCATCAGAGCTGCTTTAACCAGTCAAATATACATTTACAAATGTTGGAATGCCAATGAAATCACATATTTTAATACTTAAAATAGCTGATATGAAAATAATGTTAAAAATCACATCACAGCAGTAAAAAATATTCATACCTATACAAGGCTTAACATGCTGAAAGCAAGCTTTTGTCAGGTCACCTAACAAGGCGAAGGAACTCTGTCGAACTTCTGGCATTTTATCCTACAAGAAAGAAGAAGAAATTAATCCCAATGTGACACAGAGAATCAGGTTTCAATTCATTTGAAATTAACAAGTCTTACCTGCATGCACTGATACATTAGTGTTAGAATGTTACTTCGGGCTACCAGTTGTTCAATGTTGCCTCCGAGTCCTTCTGCCAGGCCACTGAGCAAATCAAGAGCCACTATCATAAAATCTTTATCTGGAGCCTCATATTGATCTGGTTGGGCATTGTTCAGCTGAAATTAAACACAATTTTTCAAAAACTTACTTTGAATTAATTACTGGAAAGTTTGTATACATATGCCTATCCTTAGAAAAATGCTTATGTTTTTTTTGGGAAAGAGATAAAAACTTAAAAAAATACCATGGCTTGTGCAAGAGTCTTCTGTACTAGGTTTACACAACGCTGATACACAGGTTCACAGTATGGAAGGAAGCCAGACTGCAGAGCTGTGGCAACTGAAGATAGGCACTAGGAAGAATAAAGTATGCGTGTAAAATTTGAGTATACTTAACATTATGATAAATGCTTGAAAAGAGTATTCATTAACATCCTGATCATTTATGTGCCTACTCTACTAGACTACAGTAGCAAGTTTATCTTTTAAACTTCTCCTTTGGATGCCACTCATTGCTGTAAGTTTGCCAGATGGTCAGGGAGGTTTCCTCATATTTAGCTATAATAATTTCTGTTTTATTGGGTCCAGAATTAGCCATTGCTCTTGCTAACAGAAATATTTACTTCTCTGGCTAGGGACAACCCATAGCAAAAGTGGTAACACCTGAGATGACGGGGGAACAAGAATGACAATGTATGAATTGGCTCTACCAATATCAATTCATTTAGGTTTAAGTTACCACATTGGATAGTGTTCAGTTATTTATCATATAAAATGTCTTTGGTTAAAAAGATGTATTTAGTATAAATGGAAAAAAACTTCAAACTAGATGGAAAAGGTATAAAGTGAAGTCTCTCCTTATTAGCAACAAGTCTCAATGTTATTTTCATATTATACATATATTTGTCTATATATGATAGATAATATATAAAAATTTAAACTATAGTTGACCCTTAACTATGCAGGAGTTAGGGGAACTGCTCCCTCCACATGCAGTCAAAAATCCACAGAATAACTTTACTCTCCCAGAAAACTTAAGTTGACCCTTGGTCTCTGGGAGATTGGTTCTAGGACACTCTCACAGATACCAAAATCCTAGAATGCTCATGTCCCCAACATAAAATGGGGAAGATCAATGCATTTAGTCAGCCCTCCACTTCCATGGACTTCCAAATGTGGATTGAAAACAGTAGAGGTATTTATTGAAAAAAACCTGCACCTAAGTAAACCCATGCAGTTCTAACCTGTGCTGTTGAAGGGTCAACTGTGTATTAATGATGGTATAGCTATATATCTATACTAAGAAATGTGGTTAGAGATAAATGTACATATACTGCTATAGAAAGATCTCCAAGATAATTTATTATCAATTAAGAAGAGCAGGTTAGAAAACATGTATAATATAATCCTTAACAGGCTACTTTTAAGAAAAAAAAGCCTAACAGTTCCACTACGCTTTTCCTACTTAATAGCATTTCTTATTATAGATGTATCATAATTAATGAGAAGTAACATATTTATTCAGCATTTTAACAGAAATGATTCAGAATATAGATGTATTAACACTTTTATTTAACTTACATATGCTCATTTTAGATTTGGACATGTATTCCTGATGAAACACACTGCTAAATTAAATGTTACCAGCTTGGCATACCTCAAGTAAAGGGAAGAGATCTTTATCTTCATCCTTTAACATGTTCCATTTCTGGATCAGTGGAGGCATTAGCATCTGAATATATTCCTATTTATAATGATGAAAAACACAAAAAGCTCCACTATCATATGTAAACAGTCCATTTTCAGTCTATGAAAATTAAAGTCCATTTAGAGTAATTGTGTAAAATCATTACAGAATACACTTTAGACTCATTCTTTGTACATTTAAATTTTATTTTTGCCTATCTTTTAATTTATATGACCTTGTTTTATTTTTAAATCATCTTATATCCTTTATGAAACAAAATGTATACAAATATACCATTACATAAAAATTACTTGATCACAACCTGTAATGATATGTATAAGTTTTACTCTCTCGTGGCTGATTTTTTTTTTAGTCCTGGGGCCTATGACATGTAACATAGCTCTTGTTGTATAGTGCATTATAAATGACAGGTAAACTTCTTACAGAGGCATTTGTAGAAAAAGATTTCATAATCATTTAAGTGTCCTTGTTTAAACCAAAGAATCCATAAAACTGAGCAAATCAACATAGTAATCATGTAAACAAGGGGCACAGATTCTAAAAGGTCTGGTCTAAGACATTCAGAAAAACACTCCCAGCCCCACCAAAAAACCAAACAACATCAAAGCAAACCCACAAACCAAGTGTCCCGCATCAAGTTTTAAGTATAACTTAAAACACAGACAATTTAAGATTTTTCATGTAGCAATCATAAACAAAATCTATTATTTAGCAGGGAATTTTGAACTATATTAAAGTTCTAATATTATAAATCCAATTCTATCCTCTTCTACTCTGAGCACTACTAGAGAGTTTGGCTCCCTAGCCATAGTTCTGTACCACTACTTAGCATTTTTCACCTATTACCGATTTCTAATTTTCTCTAGTGTATTCTCCATAAAAGTTCTTGTGAGAAAACAGATGTCTAGGTGTGGTACTCTAAAGCTACGATGTTTACTAAGTAGTAGATACAAAAATACTTGGAATTAAGGAAGAGTTGAAATCCAGAGTATAAAACCTTTATCTCTTTTCCTTTAGTCACTCTACAAAGTGTTTGCTTTCATGTAAGACGCTGCTGTAATTTCCACAGTAAGCACATATTTATTTTTTAAATACTATTTAAAAGGTGAATACACTTGCTGCCTTTTTAAGATCTACATTCTTCAAGTAGTAAACATTAAGTGTTCACATCTCCCAAAACATTTTAATTTCCAAATATATGTTAATCTATTGATTGTAACTATGCCACATATTTTTTTCATAATAATCATAAACACTTACTGGTTTGTTTAAATGATGTCCTACTGAATCTGCTAACGTTCCTATGGCATCATAAAGAATGAGCAGGTTCTTATGCTGATATTTACTAAATGCGAAGACCAAGGTATCAAGTATATAAGCAAGGTAAGGAACAAGTTCTGTACAAGCCTCCTCTTCAAGGGTAGCAAAGGCACTGTAATTAAAAATGAGAGAATACTGTTGTTGTAGAAAAGGAATATTTTATAATAGAGATAGAAAATGAAGTCTATAGTCTATAGATTATCTATTTACATTTTAAATGTCTATCTCCTTACTGTACCACATCAGATGCGTATTTTTATTTCTTTCCCATTTCTCACCACCTCTTTCAAAAAGACTGTTACCTATGGGCATTTATTTAACTGCGATGGTAAACTCTAAAACTAAGAGTTGTTGGTTCTTGGGATGGCTTGATAGTGTAGTGGTTAGCATGTCTGCTTTACACACAGAAGGTCCTGGGTTCGGGCCCCAGGTGGAGCCACGGACCATACCCTGGGTGCGCCAGGCCCCGGGTCCACAATGTGACCGTGTGGGAGGAGATGCCTCATCTTCAGAGATCCAGTTCTTAAGGGGAAACGGCAACATCCATAGATTAGGGGTGGAAGGTGGAGGAATTAAAGAGGGGGAAAAATTGTTGGTTCTTATATTTATTCACTCAACAAATTTATTTGGTATTTACTATTTATTCACTGAGTGCTGGGACATAGCAATAAACAAAACAATGTCCCGATTCACTTACCTTCTAGGGATTTTTCCAGATCAATAAAATTAGAATTAAAACAAACTCTAATTTACACTTCACCCTTCAGATATACACAAAGGGTAACACACACAAAAAATTTTTAATTCTTAGTGTGTTTGATATGTATGTATAAGAACAGAGCAGCATCATCACCTCTCAAATGTTTCTCATAATGGAAGGGGAAAATGGGGTGATGAGGTCAAAGGGCACAAATTTTCAGCTATAAGAATTCTTAGGACCTAATGCACAGCGTGGCAACTGTAATTAAAAATATATTGCACATTTGAAAGTTGCCGAGAGCTTAAGTACCGTCATTATGAAAAGTCACCTATTTTAACTATGTGAGGTGAATGTTATCTTTATCTTGGTAATCGTTCTACAATGTGTATGTACGTCAAATGATCATGTTGTACTCTTTAACCCATTTCCTGTTTGCCCTGACAATACTCACCAAAAGCACTTACCCCGAGATAGATAACTTGCCAATTAGTCTAAACCTTACCTCAAAGTATGCCATGAAATATCTCCCTTTTATTATTATTTTTGCATTGCTCTAGTATATCAATAGTTGTTGGAAACAAATGACATCATTCTATTTATAACATTCTGTTTTTACTAATTATCGCTGAAAATTTATTTGATGAATCTAATTCATGTATACAGTTGTTACACTGGGATTAGAGACAAGTTCTGTTTAGAAATAATTCCAAGAACAGTTTTTAGATTTTACTTTCACACTGAAAACCAGTCAGATTTGCTTCAGCCTCAAAGAGCATTTACGTAAAATTAATACTGGCAGTGAGCTGCACTTTTTTTCCTAAATGGGAAATGGGTTAAATATATACAATTATATTTGTCAATTATTCTTCAATAAAGTTAAAAAAAATGTTTCCCTAAGCCCCACACTATGTATCAGAGTGCACAATACACTTTTTATTATAAATCTGCCTCATCTATTGGGACAAATGTACAAGAAAGGAAGAAACTTCAGGATCTCAGTTCAATGACTTCAATTTAGACCTGAATTTGTTCTGACACTAAGGTATATCTAGCTCTTCATTTCTAAAATTAGTGTTTGTATTATCTTGTTCTACTGAGTCAGGAATTTTCCTAAAAATGATAGGCTTAAGCCACTTGTTAATGAAAGCCCTGTTCACTAGCAGTGTGAACTCTTTACCTATCTCCTTCACAGTACTTGCTGTAAATTATATAGTTGTTCAGTACTCCCTACCAGTCTATAAGTTTTCAAGATGAGAGGAACTTAAGCCCAGCATTTAGTACATGCCTAATAATGAGTAGAGCTAAAAAAACATGCCGAATGAATAAACTACAGGAAACCAAACAAAAATGCGGCACTTCCTGTGGAGTTATGGTAGTTTACTTGCAGACTAATGATGTGAATCTGCTCTAACTTTGTTACTGCTTTAAGGGTGCCATCACCACTCTAGACACCTGAGGAAATTGGGGTGAAAGATAATTCTATCATTATCATAGCTACTGAGAAAAAAAAGAGTTCAAGAGACAGCAAAGATTGATGTCTAGTTACGAGTGTTGGTTTTACAGTTGGTTTTATAAAATCTTCAGGTGAAAGCTGCAGATAACGAAAACTTCATTAATGGTTTAATACCAACATTTCAACATCACAAGGTTGAAGTACCCACTCCTTTTCCCACAATGAACATTTTGTTATGAATTTGTCCCACCTGCAGGCAGCTTCTTGTACTCTCTTGTTGCTATCCAGAATACGCTTTAGTAATTCTGTCATTAATGGCTTCAGGTACGTGTCCGGGGGCTGGCTGACTACCCAGTGTGCATAGCGGCTAAGAGTCCAGCACGTTATGGAACGCACAAGAGCCTTTTTATCAGAGAGGCACTGAATAAGGTGAGGAATGAGCTCTGGCAGGTATGGAATCATACCTTGCATGCAACCTAGGAAAAAAAAAGGAACAGAAATCTTTCAGGAAGTGCTAAAATATAGTTAAAACAAAATTACTTCAGCTGAATATTCAACTGATGCATCCATGAAAAATATTCAGATTATTTCCATTGCCATTAATATACTACAATCTTTTCCAAAATTATATATATTACAAAGAAAACTGAAATGACACCTAACTGCTCCTGAGTAGCTTCCATAGCGTTAGAAAAGCTCGTTTTACTTCTGCTACTCAAATTATGACTTTCAGAAACACCTGTAAGATATTTCAATTTCTTGTAGATAGATGTTTACAACTAGGACAGAATAATAACTTGTTATAGGATAATGATGCTCAACTTATATTTCTTATACTTACCTATGGAATAAAGATATTTTTTTCTAGCAATGGGGATGCTTCTGACATCAGAGTCCTTGTCCTCTCATCCTATTCCCTTTATTATAACAGAAGCATCTGCAAAATATCTGGCTGGGATGAGAAGTCTATGGCTGTTTAATTAATAACTGTTAATTGGTTCAAAGTAAACACTTATCCTAAGATGGCTTTTGGATTCATATATCCTTTTTCAGGTTAATGTGGATCAGAGTCTTATCTACCCATATCAAAAACATGATAGGAAATTATGTTAATTCAAGAGTGAATAGTCTTAGCTTACAGAATAACAATTCCTTAAAGTAGCCTAGCTGCATTAGTGCCTATTAAGGACTTCACAGTTCAAATTGGAATGACTTACCTTCAGCAATTGCTCCTAAAACCAAGATGCCTGATTCTTTAACAACCCATTCATGATGAAACAGTAATTCTTTCAAAAGGGGCAAAATATGTGGCAAAAGCTCATCACGATACACATTTGCAAGAACATCCAGGGCAGCAGCAGAACATTTTCCTAAGGAAGTATTTAATTCAAAAATATTACACTAATCTCTATTATCTTATACATATGCAGAATGAGTATTTGTTTTATGTATAACTTCATTCATATCTCTCTAGACTTTCAAAGAATTCAATAGGCAGTCTGTCACATGAAAAAAATTCTATTAACAAGAGTACTTTTTAATGACCAAGAATTAGCAAATTAATTATAAATTGGAACGAAAGTCATAGTACATTAAACACAATATATGCTAAAAAACATTCTTTACAGACTAAGAAACTATTAACTATGGAAATATATATCAATTCAGAATTCATTTAATATAATTTAGAAAAGAACAACAAAAGAACAAAAATATAATTAAGCATCCAAAATTTTCCCACTGTGAACTAGGCATAATAAATAGTTAACCATAAACTATCAGACAATGGTAAAATCCCTTTTTAAAAAAAGCTGTTACATTGGCCAGAAGTAACACCTTACTCATCAATAAGGGTCTTAGCTATACTGTATGGTAGAATCCTTATAAATGAGTATTATACTGTCATGAAATATAATCTGTATGTATTGAATAAAATCTGTATGTACTGATACAGATGAGTTATATGATGTATGAAGAAGAACCAGCAGAGTACATATAATCTGATTTTACTTTTGGGAAGTCAGCCTCCATTCCAAAAAAGGAGGCATACAAGCGTTTTTCTGTATGGGCACAGAAAAACTTCTGGAAGGGTATAAAGGTGACTAGGATGTCAAAAGGAAGTGCCCACCCTCAGACAATGTACATTATTACTGCCCTAAATCTGAAAGTAGGAATACAATGGGAGGTTAATTTGTGAGAGTAGTGAAGACCTTGGATTCTCTTGTGTCAGACCTGGGTCCTAATATTAATGTGCTATCACTACTAGCTATACTAACCTCAGGCAAGTTTCTCTTTTTGCAGTTTCCTTATCTACATACAGCTGTTGGAAAGATTAAATGTAATATGGATGCAAAGTCCTTGGCTTAGTGCCAGGAGCATTAGGTACTCTAAGTCAGGGGGTCTCCGACCTCTAGGCTGCAGACTGGTACTGGTCCGTGGCCTGTTAGGAACCAGGCCACACGGCAGGAGGTGAGCGGCAGGCAAGCAAGCAAAGCTTCATCTGTATTTGCAGCCACTCTGCAGAGCTACTATTACTGCCTCAGCTCCCCCTCAGGTCATCAGGTATTAGATTCTCATAGGAGCATCGGTCGGTCTCTGGTGCCAAAAAAAATTGGGGACTGCATCTCTAAGTAACTGTTATAGAAAGCTAAATGGGCAACAGAGGAATTCCAGCTTGATGATTCATGTCCTTAACCACTTCAGTTACTAAAAATCCTAACTCTCTGAATTACAGCAGAGGTTTTCAACTGGGGGTGATTTTGTTTCCCGGAAGACATTTGGTAACATTCAGAGATACTGTTGGTTGTCACAACTGTGTGTATGCTGGCATCTTTTGGATAGCGATCAGGGATGCTGCTCAACATCCTACAATGTGGAGGACTGCCTTCAAAATGAATTATTTGACCCAAAATATCAATAGTGCTGAGGTCAAGAAACCCTGAACTAAAAGAATGGAGCTTAAAGAACAAGGAAGCAAGCAAGCAAAACACAGATGTCTAGGTTCCTCCCGAGAGAATGTGGCCTAGAATGCAAGCTCAACAGGTGACACGGATTTGCAGCTAAGGTTGAAAAACTAACAGAGATTGAAAAAAGATATTTTGTAAGTTTGAACATGACAAAGCAATTTATATTATTTTAGAATTATCCATGATAATCAGATAATTCTCATGCAAATTATCACACACAAAAAAGTTTATGTTAGGAAAACAGAAAAGGCTTGTGGTCAGTGTTCCCATTTTATAGTATCAAACAAAATATATAGCTTTTTGAGGAATGGCAGTTTAGAAATAAAGTCTTTTAAAAGAACATAATGAATATTAAATAAAAGACAGGGCCATCAAAAAAACCCACAATAAGATACCACTTCACATCCACTAAAATGGCTGTAATAAAAAACAGACAACTGTTGGCAAGCACGTAGAGAAAAAGGAATCTTAAGACACTGTTGACGGGAAAGTAGATGGTGGAGCCACTTTGGAAAACCGACTCAAAAAGTTCAACAGAGAGTTACCATAAGACCCAGTAATCCCACATATACAACCAAAAGAATTAAAAACATGTCCATACATAAACTTTACAGAAAAGTTCACAACATCATTACAAAAGCCAAGAGGAAACAACAAAATGCCCATCAACTGATAATAAACTGGTAGCTGCTTAGGACTGGGGGACTGGGAGAAAATGGGGGAATGACTGCTAATAGGTACGGGGTTTCTGTGGTGATGAAATGTTCCAGAATTTACTGTGGTGATGGTTGCACAACTCTGAATATATTAAAAACCAATGAATTGTACCCATTAATGGGTGACTTATATGGTATGTGAATTACTCCTCAATAAAGCTGTTACCAAAGCAGGTAACTGTGGTTTTCTCTCCTTGACTTACTTAGATTCCAGTCAGATATTGTATCATCATCATCAATTTCATCATCGTCATCATCATCTTCTTCAATTCCATCTTCATCATGCTGCTGAGCCACCGTCCTTGATCGATGAAAACGTGGCCTTATATCCTGTTCACTATCAGGAATCGTTTCGTCTTCTTCAACATCACCCTATTTTTTTTTAAAGGGAAAATTTTGGTGATATTTGTTACAAGTTAATATGTACGTGAGTAAAAGAATCAGAATATCCAGAGATGGGGTCATGCATAGGATTGTGAAGTAAACGTCTTCATTAGTTCTTTGTGAAGAGACCATTCCGTAACACCTGTTAGGTATCAGGTATTTACATAATCACATTATATTGCCCCCCATCAGCTGGTATATTACCTGAATATCACATTCAGATCTATATTACCTGAATATCACATTCAGATCATATTTAAGGTATTTAAAAACAAATGCCAAATAAATGGAATCAATAGAAAATTAATGCTAACTCTGATACTGTCACCATCTAGTTCCAATTAAGCTGGAATCTATTACCACCCAAATTCATTATGTTTGCTTCTACCTTTGAACTCTGTAGCATATTATATCTAACAGGAAACCTATTTACATAGGGTCTATTCTAAATAAATGTTCTATTAGTCAAATTCAAAGATTTACTAAGTCAATAAAAATAATCCTCCCTATTCACCAGAAAGTTTCCTTACCTTAAGTAAGATAATATCTATATCTGAGTACTTCATGCCATTCACTAACACAGGAATCAACCTACAAAGAAACAAATTCATGAAACAAAGATCTAAACATCAATGGAATTATTAATAAGTCTTAACAACCTTTTGTATACCAACACCAATGAGACAACGACCCATATCCCTAATATTGTCTTAGAGCATATTCTGTGCTGTCTGTCCTTCTCAAATTAGTATTCTTAATACATGTCTCAGGCCTTTTACATACTTATGCATGGGACCCACTTAGTAAAGATAAGGGGGCCTGTCCACAGAAATAAAATAAAAAAATAGCATTTCTCCCTTAAGAATTTATCCAAATATACCAACACCCATTTTTTAAAGACTAATGTTCCCTGCTACAACAAAAACACTGGAAAAAAATCTAAATGTGCACCATTTAGGGCTTGGTTAAAATACATTTCAAATACATATGTTAAAAACAAACAAAAACTCCAAGTGTAAAACACATATAACACATGTCCACCTGAGTTAAAAACAGTAGATTTCCCATGAATTACTTGTAAACACAATCTATCTTAGGAAGGATATACAAAAAATGGTATCTTTGGAGAGCGGAGTGAGTAGGTGAAAAGGGGACAAAATTCATCTTTTACTTTATTTTTAAATGGTGTGACATTGTTACAATAAGCCTACATTCAGTAATTGTATTCTTTTAATAAAGAGATAAGAATTCAAAATATAAAAATATAGTAAGTCTAAAGGAAATGAGCCAAAAGAAATAATGCAAGAAGGAAAAAAAGAGCTTTATGGATAGGTTATTACAGCTTTTGACAAAAAGTTAGGAAATTTAAATTTCTTTAATTAAAAACAATCAAAAATTTCACTAACAAAACAGTTAAATAAATTAGGATTATCATACCCAATCTGAAGTCTTATGTAGTCACTAAAACAGAACCATGGAATTCCAGGTATACTGGAATATTTATGCTACCTAGTTTAAAAAATATTTAAAAAAGACATATAAGGTCAAAACACTAACTTCAGTTCCTCTTGTAGCTATGACAGTTTTGAGCTTTGAACAAGTTTCTTAAGCTTAAGCTTGGATGATTTGTTTTCTCACTGGTTCATCACATATTTAAAAGAGCCAACTGAGGATAAAAGCTATGAAAATACTCTGGAAATATTTATCAATATTTTACAATAAGCCCATACATAGTTCTCTGCTTCCAAATTTTACCTTTATTGGCTTGGGAAAAGTATGAACAGACAAAGAAATTCATACTCAGAAGTACCAGCTGTGGGCTTATAAGTACTTTCCTTATAACCTAATGAGAAAAGGTATTAGGATTCCCATTTTATAGAGGAGTAAACTAAGGCTCAGAGAGGTTATATTACTTTACAAGGTCTTGAGTTTTAGTAAACAGGAGAGTCAGACTTCAAAACCTCTTTGGCCTGACTCCAAAGACAATTTTCTTTTCCTACACCAGATGTAAGAAACTCTCACTCTTCAGCAGTGCCCAACCCTTTGGCACCAGGGACTGGTGCTCCTATGAGAATCTAACGCCTGATGACCTGAGGTGGAGCTGAAGTGGTGATGCTAGAACTGGGGAGCTGCTGCAGATACAGATGAAGCTTCGCTTGCCTGCTGCTCACCTTCGGCTGTGCGGCCTGGTTCCTAACAAGCCAGAACCAGGCCGCACAGAAGGCCCAGGGGTTGGGGTCCCCTGCTCTATGTTAATGTCCTCAGTCTTTGTTGAGGCCTTACTTCAAATTTATGCATTTTAACATCAATTAAATAAATATGTATGGAACCAATTTTGAGTACAACTCTACTGCCAATGAGGTAATTTTATAAGTCCTCATTAACTAAAGGAATAGTAATAGGGAAACAGAAGCAGTGGGATTTTAAATTTCCTGGATAGGTCTAAAAACTGTTTGGGCCAGACAAACTTTCACTATGTTCAAAGTTCTTCTAAATTCTAAGATAGAAAGATTAATAGTAACAACATGATAGCTGGTATAACATAACTAGATAACTGGAGAACCACATTTTGTAAGCTACAGGCATTAAAGCAGGAAAACTGGGTTCATTTGGATAACCAACAGTTAAATCACTTATGATCTTTGTCAACAATTTCAGAAAAATGGTGAGAACAGACAGCAGACTCTAAAATATTAGAGAGTTAACATGAGGTGAGGTAAAGTGAAGACAGTGAGCCCCATCTATTCTTTGAATCTTTTTAAGATGGAAGAAACTGCAGCAAGTTAAAAAGTTATGGAGAAAGAGGCAACAAAGAGGAGAAAGTTGAATATATCTATCTGATGGAGTGAGGTCCCAGAGGGTAAGAAAAAAATTATGCTAGCTAAGACCATAAATAGAAAGACTGGTTACGAAGAGGACAACTCACATGAAAATATATCTGTAAGTTTTGGGACAAGATGAAGGGTTACTTGTTTTCCTGATAAAATAGAAGTAATCAAAATGAATGAAGAGAAATTCAGAAGAGTGACAAAGGTTTGAAATAGTTGCTCTGGTGAATGGATGATAAAAACTGATCTAGAACAAGAAAAATTGGCAAAGAGCAAGAAGGGTCCACTTGATGTTGAAGACCATAGATTGTTATATTTTTCCCAATAGTATTTAACAAGCCATAAAGACAGTTCAATTAATCCAGAGCACGGGAGATGCATGGTAGAGTTGAGAGTTTACTATCAGTACAGTTAATTTATGATGTTTGTGCCACATAGGGAAATAAAAGCATGTGCAGGAAATAAGGGACTGAGAAAGCTGGGCAAGTAAAAAAAAAAAAAAAAAAATGAGGTTGCAAAGTGAGATACAGGAGTTAACTGTGACCATTTGGCAATATGACATGTGTCATGTGATGAGTCCAATCATGCAAGGCATCCCATTATTTTTGAAGAAGTGTATTTAAGATTCTTTCTCCTGAAACCTCATACAGCCAATGAAAATGAGAATTTTTCATGCAACATCACAGTAAGGCAATGATGTTAATACCAACAATCAATGTTTACCGAAATGTGTGCTGAGCATTAGGTCGTTTTACATGAATTAATCCAAACAACAGCCCCAGGACACAGAAATGTGCAAGAATAAAGGCGAGAAAATACAAAATAATTTTGGGAGAAAAAGACTTTCTTACCAGATAACAAAATGTTTAATAATCAAGAATATAGTACCAGGTAAAACAAACAAATAAAAAACAAAACAAAACAGGCTTTAAAGCCCAGAAACACATAAAAGAATTTAATGTCATTATCTCTTGTTATATTACTGTGAGTTCGTATCAATATGAGAAATCTCATTATGTATACAATTTTGATTTGTAAGCAAACATTTTTTTGCTCATACTAAATAAGAGTCTGATTAATGGAGCTAGGAAATAAGGTTTTTTTAAGTCATGCTGTTTTATCTCAGCATCAGATTGATGTTGGTATTCTTCCATCCTCACAGTGCATTATTTCAACTAAAAATAAAAGCAGCCTTGTTTTATATAAAAATGGTTCCCAAACCAGTGGTCTGGAAGACATAAGGCAAACTAGTTATAATTGGCTTGAGTTGTTTAATGTTTGCACTAATTAGCACAGTAAAAAGTGCAAAATTTTTAGCCTATTACCACATTCCCGCTCACTTTAAGGATGTTTAGATTTTATTAGTGTTTATAGAGCACCTAGCCATAAATGCATATTATCGGTAATACCTAACGTTATAGCTTAGGTTTTAACAGAAGGAAGCTCTTCAGTTTTTATAAAAACTAATGTCTGTTTACATGACTTTTACAATTATATGATTCTATAACAAGAAACAAGCATGTCATAATATACTCATATTTAGTTTCACAAATCAGGAAGAAAAGGAATAATAATATGTGAATTTCCTAAAGAAAAAAGAATCCATTTAGCATCTGATGTTCCAGATTGCCAAAAATAAAATAGAGGTGGAAGTGGTGCTTTCTTTGGGGAAAGAATTTATTGGAAAGGAAAAAGAAGTTAACTGACTATATGAAAATGAGAAAATCCAAGTACCAAACATCTGAAAAAATGGCTCCACTAACTTACGGTAAGTATAGATGAATTCAGTGAGAACTTTAACGAAGAGATAAAAAACATAAAAATGGAAATGGAAATCATAAAAGGGAACCAGTCAGAAATGAAGAACATTATCTGAGATGAGAAGTATATTAAATGGAATAAACAGTGAATAAAGAAGATCAAATGAGGATGGGAAAGCCAAGGATACTCAATCAGAATGGCCAAAAAAAAAAAAAAAAAAAAAGCCAAGACTATAATAATAATTTAAGAAGCCTATGGGACACTATTAAATGTAAAAATATCTGTGTCATAAGAGTATCAGAAAAAAAAAAAAAAAGACGTTGAAGAGCTATTTGAATAATGATAGAAAACTTCCCTCACCTGGTGAAGGAAATAGACATACAACCCTAGGAAGCTCAGAGTCCCAAGAAAGAAGAACCCAAAGAGGCCCACACCAAAACACATCCTATCAACGAGTACCTCAAATGGAAGAATTAAGTGCTCCAACCAAGAGAGTGGCTGAATGGATAAGAAAACAAGACCCCTACATGTGCTGCCTACAAGAGACTCACTTCCAATTAAAAGACTCAGAATAAAAGGAAGGGGATGGAAAAAGATATTGCCTTGATGGACCTAGAGGGTATTACACTGAATGAAATGGGTCAGACAGAGAAAGACAAATATCGCATAATTTCACATACATGGAGAATCTAAAAAACAAAATAAATCACAACAACAACAAAAGCAGAAATAAACTCACAGATACAGAGAATATTTAGAGAGATACTAGACAGGAGGGGGTTTGAGGGGACAAAAAAAGGCAAAGGGATTAAGAGGTACAAATAGTTGCAGAATACACACGGAGATATAGAGCGCGGCACAGGGAAGATGGTTAATGATGTTGTAATAAATAAGAGGGGTAACTAGATTTAGTGGAGTGATCACTTTGCGAGTTATGTGGATCTCTGATCACTATGCTATACAACCGAAACTGGCATATTATTGTATGCCAATTATAATTGAAAAAAACTCATTGAATTGTACAATGTAAATAAATACAAGCAACTAATTGTCTACTATATTTCAATAAAGATGGGGAAAAAATATATGACTCCGCTAATACTACAACATATTAAAACAAGCGGTTTTGTTCTTGGCTCATCCCGACAGCTAAGAGTAGAGAAATTATAATTAATGGCTGGCAAAAGCTGTGATAGGACGGAACACCACTGGTATAAACTGGCATAACTTCACTGGAGAATAATGTGGAATACTTATGAAGAATTATGACGAATCCAGCCCTCTGACTTTGGGAAAAATCACTTCTAAAAATTCTACCTGAAATAAACAACCATTTATGGACGAAGAAAGATGTTCACTCCAGTATTATTTGATTAAAAAGAAAAAGGGCAAACTATTTAACTATTCAATAACAGAACAGTCAATTATAAATACATAGTATTCATACCATGATGGAACGGTACTCAAAAGTTTAAAGACTAATGACATGGAGGAAAGCATGCAACATACAGTAACTGAAAAGAGCAAACCACAGAACAGTACGATCAGAATTTTAAGCACGAACTATAGCTAGATGCCATGTTAAGTGTTTCACATGTTATCAAATTTAATTCTTCCCCAAACGCCTTGAATATATGGTATTTGGTATACGGTACACTAACACAGGAAAAGAACAAAAAACAAAAAACAAAAACATTAAAAGCAACACATCAAAAATACTATGATTACTCAGGATTTTAAGTTTTCTGCATTTTAGTTTTCTTCCACAAGCCTGTATTACTTATTTTCAAAAGTAAGCATTACGTTTAAAACAACTGATTTTAATACATGTATCAAATTATTATATTGTATACCTAAAACTAATGTTTTATGTCAATTATATCTCAAAACCGGAAAAAAAAAATCTGATCAAACAGTATTTATATGGTTAAAAATAGGCTTAATAATGTTCAGCCTATAACAAAAATTTCATAGCATCATAACTTGTGGGAAAACATTTTTTGGGAAAAACCCACCAGAGTCAATGGTGAAATTATAAGAGTTATTAAAAAAAAAAAAACAAAAAACAGTGCCAGGAGTTGTCGAAAATTAAGTATAATTTAGAATAAACCATGCTCAAGTAATTAAAAAATTTTAATTGCCCCCTGAAAATTCTCTTCCCTTATACCAACAATAAAATTAAGTTTGACTTCTTTAGAACTTAATTCCGTGATGGCAGAATTCAACATAAAAACGAGTAATCACTATTAAATTTAAGAACACAGTAGTATTCACAAGAAAGAACACTTACTTAGGAAGATGCCTTACAAGTACATCTTTGCATATTGGTTGCTCAGCTAAAGTGAGCCAAAATTCACAGGCTTCTAAAGCCACATTTTCATCTTGATCTTGGGTCCTCTGTAGCATGTACTGTAAACAAAAGAGCCTTAAAATTAACCAGTTAAAATCATACAATTAAAATAAACCTAATCTTATTGCAGCAAGTTAACGGTCCTTTGCATGGCCTTACAATTTTACAATGGCTCCCAATCTAGGGTGTGGATTTTTTAATAAGCTTCCTAGTTAATTCTAACATGCAGCCAAACAAGAATTGCTGCTTTAGAATGTTACCTAATGAAAGTGTTCAATCCATGTATCATTTATCTACTTCTGTATGGACATATTGTTTTATGAAACCACTGAGAGTTTAAAAATCTACCAATAATCAAACATTAAATCTTTGTAGAAACATCAAAATAAACTCCATTAAATCTTTCTTAAAATGAAGAAACTTTTTATAATTAAAGTGTCTCTTGAATGTGTATCTTTCATATACTTAGAGATATACACAAGTTAATTTTTTTTTAATTTGGAAAGCAGTGACATTTCTCAGTGTAACTATAACTTGTAGTTTCCAACAAAATAGCTTTATCATGTCCTCTGAACATAACAAGACAAATTCACTTAGTTGGAATAACATGACCCCAAATCTAACCAAAGGCATGCTGTCTAACTTTCTTTAAAAAACCCTTACATGCAATAACACAATAAACATAATCAAAGTCACACAATTTCCCAATATAAACTGGAATTGGTGTCTACTGATGAATTCTTAGTACACATCCTCTGCCTGATTGAAACACCTCACATATGACGAAATATGGCAACCAACGATTGTGACAGGCCAACCCCTATTACATTGCATACCATGTCCTACTGAAAAAAGATCTGTAGCATTATAAATTAGGCTCCCCAGCTGTAATATGGCCTTAGCAAATGATAAAATGTCTTCTGAACTTTCTGGTTAACTCCACACTCTCACTAAACTTTCAACCAACTCCATCTGATTCTTCCAAATATTTCATGGGGAGAATAGGCTCATCAGAGAAACTGTCATTTATTCCCATCTTATGCTGCTACATATGCTTAGCTCTACAATCGTCTTTCCTAATGTTTTAGAAAAGTTGCTATAAACCATGGGTGCTAGCCTTCTTCTAACAGGTCTTAGACTCCATCTTTTAAAAAAAGATCTTCCCTCTCCACTTTATATCAATCTCTGGAACTGAAAGGGAGGATCTAGATACATACTGTTTAATCCACGCACACATCTACATATTACTCGCATACAGTAATATGAAAATTAAGTGGTATAATGTGACTACAGCATTACTGGGTAGCATCTAAATTTTTTTTTCTAGTGATAACTATATCTTGTTATTACTTATTCCTTCCTTGAAATATGGCAAAACTGTGATCAATGTACTTAGAATTTCCCAATAAAATTATTTTAATTACATTTTAAAATCTAAATAGTTTCCTGGAACTAACTATAATAATGGTTATGTATTTTCTACTCATAAATCTCACTGTTATCATAAATAACCAGGCTGATCAGATTAATTTTATCAGTAATGGGTAGAACATTCTTAATGACAAAATAATATGCCACTTAATCTATCAGCTTTATTGATCATTTAGTCTACCTAACCCATTATCTAGTAAACACACATAATCTAAGTATTTCCTAATTATTTTGGTTAAAAGCTATTCATAAAAGGGAAAAATTATTTCCCCCTTTATAACTCTTTAAATCTTATAAAAATTACTATAAAGTTATCATTTTAAGACAATAACTATTTTTTGTAGTCACCTCCAGTGTATGAAATAATATAAGAGTGGTTTCACATTGCACATTTTATGCCCAAGATTTTTCTTGAAGGAAAGATGAGGAGAGAACCTTTAAATTGCTTGTGTTACCTCAACTATATTATGCATGTGAGGAAGGAGGCGATCCATTCGAACTTCAAGCAACATCACAAGTGCCCGGCATACATTTTTCCGTACCTCTGGTTCTTCATCCCCAGCCAATGCAAAGAGATTCTATTGTACAAGAAACATTTTTTCTAGGTAAATATTACCAATATTAGGTTTATAAATAACAACCAGTAATCTGCAAGTTGGTAACATTTAAAAAAACCCTAAGATACAATACAAATAAAGACTGACTTAATCGGCTGACAATATAAGAAATTATAAAACAAATGCATTGATAATTGCCAAAAATTATGATTTTGGTAAACAATCTAGATAATTCTTTCTGATAAAGTATAATTCGTTGTGTTTTGAGGTAATTTTTCATTTGTGAGAATAAAACCATGTCATTAGGACACAGGGGCATTCATTCAGAAGTAGAGATAATTACTAAAATACAATTTGATTTATTCTTCAAAATTACTATCTGTCAAGAGGTTATTCCTACCAACTCTGATTTTTAAGGTGGTAATAAGTCCAAGTCTTATGAAATCACCAATAATTGGGAAATATATACTGAGTTTGTTCAGAGTCAACTACTGAAAAAATAATAAAAGTAGCAATCAATCTTATACTGTTAAGAAGTTTCTCTACAAAGTTTAAAAAAATGTCTGAATGAACAGGAGACTTTCGTTTAATCTTCACAACTCTGAGATGTTATACAATTTTCCAGATAAAGATATGAAAGTTTAGATGTTAAGTAACTTGCTAGCCAGTGGGAGATCTGAATTTGGTTTTCACGGAATCATGAATAAGTCCACACTCATTTCACTATACCAACAAGCCTTCACTAGAAGAATAAGCTGTCTCTTGTAGAGGCTGCAAATGGGATGTGAGAAGAAAAAGCAATAAACCTTTCCTATCTCACTCATGAGATTTTACTTTATTTGTAAACACAAACACACACAACACATACATTAAAAGCAGTAAAAAGATCATAAAAAAAAATTAAGTAAAATCCAATGTGCCCCATTATCTTTTCCCAGGAAATCATAAAAACGTCTCCAAAGAGATGAAACTGAAATCTTATTACAAGCAAAGGTAAGACAATGCAAAAGTTCAAATATCAAATATAAGTCTGTGAAGTACTGTTGCAGCATTTTAAAGTCTTTGATTTCCCCAAGTCCTGCCTCCACATTTGATGTAGTTCCTCTTTTAATCAGATATATTTTATAAAGTCAGAGAATACTGTTCTTTCCAGCAGGTACTGCTTACACGTTAGAATATACATCTTTCCTTAATTTGATGTTGTCTTAATATGAATAGCCAGCTTTGCCAAGGTGTGTTATGGCCATATATTAGTAACCAATACACTTCCCATCAGTAACAGACATCAGCCCCTGATGAAAACATTGATAATTGAAGAAAATAATTAATCAAATTTATTTGGCAATTAGTTACTGAGGGCCTACTATGTATCAGGCACCGCCTCTGGAGGTTTACTCCTCTTGCATGAAAAACTGGCTGACCCTTAGATGATTATCAAGCAGCAAAGAAGTGTTAATATGGCATTCAACACTAATTGAAACTATTTTAAACTGCTGGGAAAAATGTTCTTGCTCTACTTGCTGAGTAAGGTCTTATCTAATTTTTATTTTTAGAGATAATTTAATCTCTTTTATTCTAAATTATATTTCTGTATAAGATACTGGTATGTCTACCAGGTCCCTTAATAAGGTATGAAAGAAGAACACTAAGAGGAACTATTATTATAATGACAACTTCTAAAAAGTAATAGTTGTAGTTAATATGTACAGTGCTTACTCTGTGGCAGACATTGTTCCAGTTTATTATAACAATCCAACAAGGTAGGTCTCCTTTTACAGATGATGAAACTGAAAATATCAGTTCATGAAGGCGCCCAAGATTAATATAGCTATTAGGCTCTGGACCTGGGATTTGAACCCAGGCAGACTTACTCCAGACCTCTAATATTATCTATTATCCTCTATTCCAAACTAGACTGAAAACACCTGAGATATAAAAGTTATTTAGGTACCCCTAGCACCAAGCTCAGTGCCTGATTCATAGTAGGTACTCAGTAAATGAGTGGGAAAACAAAAAAAACAAAAAAACACACACAACATGATTTTCTTTTATTTATAATTTTCCAATAGAAAGACCAGAAGTATGGCCTCTAAAGGATTTTTTAAAGAACAGCAGGAAAAAAAAGGGACTATTTAATTAATTTCATTTGGCAAAAATAAAAGTGAAGCACTTAAATTATGCTTGTCTTTCTGCTTTTATCGAATGTTAAGTGTTTTTAGAAATGCTTGTTTGAGATTTAAAGGCCAATGTTTTCCCTGACACATATAATTTTATAATGGGAACCAACAGAAAAACGGAAGTACAGCAGGTCCTCGAATGTCATTTCATTATAACGTTGATGAGCTGCGGTAGGAACTTAACTCTTGTTTATGTCAGTTAGCCTACAGTAAAACTGGTTTCCTTATACTTTGTTTCACTTAAAAGTCACAGAACATATAGGTATACTGTACTGTCCTTTAGTATGTGCCTTTAGATTCCGTATCAATTTAAGTGTATTCAACCTCAGCAATGTTTCATATTTCAAATATTGCAAATGAGCTGGGAGATTTAACTTCCAAGTTGCGACTGAACAGTATACCAAAGCAGAGATTTTTATAGTGAAGATATTAAACACACACACACACACACACACACACACACACACACACACATCCATAATCAATGTTTGTATCATGATACAAGTGGAAAAACCAGTAACAGAGGAAAAGTTTACAGTTATAAAACTACGTGCCATTAACTTTTTTTTTTCCCTTCATCTACCCGACATCTGACTGGAACCCTTCTTCCTCAACTAACATTTTTCTAACATTCTCACAAATAGGAGGGTGGGGAGGAATAAATCTTACCTCAATAAAAGAATCAATATGCAGCATCAGAGCTTGAGTCCTACTGATGATGAACTGATTGACACATGCAACAGCATGAGATCTAGAAACAAAATTCAAAATTCAATATATGCTCACTGTTTATCCTTTTTCTATTTACAGAAGACTGGTTAAGAACTTAAACATTTCTCCATGAAAATATTATAGTGTGTGTACACACACACACTCATAAAAAGAATGAGTCAAATTTCTCTGCATTAACATAGAAAGAACATGAATAATATAGTAAGTGTAAGATGCAGGTTGCACAACAATGTTATTGCTCCTAAGTTAGTGGATACCTCTAAACGGTGGGGGCATATGGGAACTTATATACCTACAAATTTAAAAACTGGTTTGTAGTCCTTTTGAAACTAAAAATGGGTATAGTCTATAGTCTATGTGTTCTGACATACCCAATTCAATTCCACAGCAATTCTCAACGGCACTACCTTTAAAAATATATCCATAATCAAATCACTTACTACCCTCCACTACTTCCCTATTCCAAATCATGATCTCCCTCCCAGCAAGGATGACTCCAATAGGCTCTAACTGGCTTTCTGACTTCCGCTGTGCCAAACTCCACTAAAACTTGTTTGACACACATTAATAAGATCAAATTAAATCCTTGTTCAGCCTGCTCCAATAAAACAATCTACTTTTTAAATATTTTTAAGCTTTGTGGGTCACTTAAGACCTTCATTCCTCCCCGCCCCCGCCCCGACACACACCTTCGAACCTTTTAAAATATAAAGTTATCCTTAGCTCATGGGTCATGGCTATGGCTGGATTTGGCCCCTGTAAGTCAGCTTGCTGACTATTAGCCTAGACATTACACTATAAAGTGGCTACTCTCTATCTCTCTAACTTCATTTTCTATCATGCTACATGACTTTTTTTCTTCTATAACTCTAAAAGGCTTGTTCCCTACTCCAGGGCCTTCGTACTTGCTGTTCCCCATCTTAAATGTTCTTTGCCTTGATATTTCAAAGACTGCTACTTTACTTTCTTCAGGGTCTCTGCATGACTGGTTCCTTTACAGAGAATCTTCTGCACAAAAATTCCTGAATTACTGTCTAGCCCCTTATTCTTACCACATATAGCCAACATGACAAGATGTTCAACATGATTAATGACAAACTCCCAAGACCATAAATTTGAAATAACATTTTATATCTATTTGATTAGCAAAAATTAAAAGCTGAATGTGTACCCAAAGAAACTTTCATTTTGTTAATAAGGAATATAAATTAATGCCGCTCTTCTGGAGAACAGTTTGTTGTTATTTCCTTGAGTTATTCATTCATATGCCCTGTGTCCCAGAAATTCCTTCCCAAGAGTTTATTTACCTTCCTAAGAGAAACTCTTGCATATAGACAGGACACTAGTATACAAATGTTTTCAGCAGCACTGCCCACAATAGCAAAAACCTAGAAGCCACTCAAAAGCCATCGGGGGTGTGTGTGTATTTGTGTGTATAAGATACATGAACTGTGTAACTGTCATACAAAGGAATACTATACAGTAGTCAAAACAAATTGAGCCATAGTGACACAATATGGATGTATCTTAGCAACATAATATTAAATTTAAGACGCCACCAAAGATTAAATTTAGTAAAATACTTTTTTATAAAGTTAAACAAATTGTATATATACATTTTACACATAGACGCAATAAATTATTTTTAAGTGCAAAACAAAAAAAAACGAATTTAATGCTGGGATTAGATATAGGTTGCTGTCGAGGTCTTAACTTTTATTTTGGGTGGTGGATTTAAGTACTTATTGAAAATAATAATAAGTAACTGAAGACTAAATGGAAGTGGGAAATGATGACAGTATCATGAGTTAGGAATCATAACCCAATCTGTGTGACTGAAAAATAAAACTGATTTTTAAATTGCTTAGTCATGTGATAGATAAAACTATTTCTTTGCCTCATTCTACATTCTCAAAGTCCAACACTTATTTTGAGAGAAAAAAACAATTTCATAGTAAATACCAGTTAAAATGTATTAATAAGGTGTTAAGAAATATTTTAACAGTGTGTAAAACAGAATCTCAAATGGGTAGTAAGAAACATTCACTGAATGGAAACATTTCTGTATTGGTGAACTCCATCTAATTAAGTTTTAAACACATGATCATCTACAAAAATGTCTTAAAATTATAAAAGAAATTTTTATATCCAGTAATGGTGTATCAATCACCAGGAATGTTTTTTAAATTTTTGTTAACTGCTGAGAATTGATCACAAAAAAGTAAATTTCTAAAAAGTATGCAAATCACCACACTTTCTTTCATCACCTTAGTTGCAATGTTAAAAGGGGGAAGACTTCCTGGGAACATGAACTCCTCTATCTAGTTACTTATGCCAGGAAGAAAAAATTTTATTTTGAAAATGTTTATTTGCCCGACACTACCACGAATAAGCATCTATAAGTTTCCACTGTGAGTTTAACACTGTACTAAGTACCATGTAAGATGAAAAGTGACTAAAATTAAATAAAGGTAAAAGAATAAGAACTAAATAGAGAATTCCTTTTCTAAGCAAGAAAAAGATTCCAATTACCCTTTGGTTACAACGTTGAAAGCATAATCCTTTGGAATACAGCTTGGAATCTTGAAGTAAGCCCCAAATAGCATCTGAACTAATTAATAGTTTAAGCCTATAAAGTTCATGCAGCTGGATATTCCTTAAGCCTCTAGGAACTGCATAATTTCTACTTTAAATAGTAAAGTTTATTTTATATAAAAGCATGAAGTATTGGCAACTGTTAAAAAAAAAAAAAAAAAATCAAAGCAACTGACAAGCAAAAGAAAAAAGGCAATGACTTTTCCAAAGAAATAATAAGCAAAGTTCATGTTAGAAAAAAATATATATAAAATTGGAGAGGACAAAAAAATTACAGCAAGCTGGGGAACTTCTGGTGAAATTATAGTCTCACTTCAGTGTAATAAAGACGGCACAATAATTGTAATTTGATAAAACTGATAACAAAACTATTCAAAAGATAATATTCTAAATATGATATTTATGTTATCATTATGTTTAGAACTATATGCTAGGCACTGTTCAAGGAAATATGGATATAGAAGAAATAAAGCAGCCCAAGTTAACTTCAGGATCAGCTAACCAGGCCTACTATGTGATTTTAGAGTACTCAAAAATCCTTCCACCTTCAGACTTAAAATGTTTTTATTAGATGTAAACCCCTTAAACTAGAATTACTTAATAATTTAGATGTCATACTGAAATAATTTTTTATTACACAAGGTGCAAATGAAGGTACTTCTACTTGGCAAGATTCATAAATTTAAAACACAAAAGCAAACAAAAAACAAACCTAATGATTTTCTGCCTTTCACAAAGGACCTTAAAAGCATGTCTGTTAACCATTACAAATGCAATTAATCATGTAGAAAATAGAGAACCATCATATCCGATGAACATTTTTATCAGAAAAGGCCAACATTTCCTGGGCTTTGTTATTAAAGGAATAAATTTCAATTACCAAAATTTACCTTTGTGGAAGATGTACTATTTTTGCTATAGTCACAAAAATGTTAGGTAATGCAAAAAGAAGAAAGTGATCAGGCTTCTATCAGAGTTTATACATTAATATTGGCTATACAGATACCTTATTTTTGGGCTACTGTGCTTGAAGAACTGTAAAAATTTGGGAATCATGATGTTGAGAGGACGATCTAAAACATCACTATCTAAAATCTCAGCAGAATCTTCACATATCTTCTGAAGGGCACCAAATGCTCCCTGTAAAAGACATTTAAATTATTAGAATTAATTAAAAATGAAGTCATTTTAAAAGCAAATTGAGAAATATTGACTAATTTGTGTGGATTTATGTTCTCAGCCCACGTAAAATCTATAAATTTAATCATGAATTTTCAGATAATTATACCGCTGGTTATTCAAAAATCTCAGTTTAAATATAATATTTTTTTGCATTAAATAACTTATAATTAAAAAATACTTGGTTGGCAGAGATTAAAATATCTAATTCAAAAACCTAACTTCCCCTGAAATATTCTTGCCAATTTTAAGCCAACGCTAGTTTTTCTCTTTTAAACTGTACTGGTTTGTTAAAATTGAATGTAAAAGTATATATTTACATATAAACGTATTTAACCATTGTATCATCTCTCTTCTTGAAGCATGAGAAGAGGTCTTAATTATCATTAAAACTTATTTTATACATACATAAACTATTCATTGGGTATTGGTGACAAAATTGTTAAAAAAAAGGACAAATAATTGAAATTGGCAACTCTTTTCCTATAGCTATTTCTACACCAAAAGGGCAACACTAGAGCTCTTATAAACAATATATAACCTATTTAGTTACCGCAACCACTTCCTTACTTCACTGTTTATAACTCCATCAGTGGCACCATGGTGCTTATTCTCCATAGCACAGTTAATTTAAGAATACTGTTTCTTTAAAATGTGACTTAGGTAGTAGTTTCTCAGCAATTTTTAGATTGTTGCAGTTTAAATTTTTTATTTTTGGAAAGTATTTGCTTAAAATTTTGTCTCCTTTTATGTTATTACCATTTTACCAAAGCATTATTTAAATTTTAATCAACCTGATGGCTAAATATTATTTTAGTTTTTCTATAATCTTATCAGTGTATTTCCAAAGCACTATTGGACAATGTATATAGGAGAACAAATGTTTTTTTCCTTTCAGAGACTTTTCTAAAGACTTCTTTGCTAACTCTCCTTTCTCCTTAGTCCATCTGCTTCCCCAAGTCAGATCTGGCAACAAACTGTCAAGTTAAAAGACCACCTGATTCCTTTCTGTAAGGTTATTCCTGTGTCTGTCCTGCCTCTCAGCTTTGCTCTTTTATGACAGGGAGAGGAGCGACTGCCTTAGGTGAAAATACCTAAAATGGTTTCCATTTAAAACAGATTTCTATCCAACTAGAAGCCTGCTAATGAGATAAAGTACTCATTATCAGTGAGAAATTGTAGGAAAAGAAATCGAGACTCCCTCTCTCCTCTTCAAATAGAAAGGCTGCTACTGATTTGATCAGTGGCAAACAGAAAGCTATTTCAATTAACGTATGACTAAAACCAGACTAGACACACTTTAAACATGTCATACTGTAAGAGGCACAAAAAGAATTTAGAGAAGCTGAAAAAGTACTCATAGCCTGTGAATTTGGTAAATTTAAGTCTATCTTTGAAAATTACCACACATCAATTGATTAAGCTTGACAATAGCTCTGTTTATTACATATATACACATCCAAGGAAACTTTTTTTTTTTAATGCCTACAGCACCTGGTCTTCCTAGGTAGTCTCCCATCGAAGTACTAACCAGGCCTGACCCTACTTAGCTTCCAAGATCAGACATCGGGCTTGTTCAGGAAGGCATGGCCGTAGATCATGGACTGTGGCTCCACTGGGGCGTGAACCTAGGACCTTCTGTGTGTAAAGCAGACATACTAATTGCTACACTATGGAACCACTTCCCCCAAGGAACCTTTTAAAATACAAAAATATAAGATGTTTCCATGTAGGAAATATAGTAGAGAGGTTTTATAACTTAACAGTCTTTGTAGAAAATAGTAATATAAATAATCATTAATGTAAACAAAAGGTAACTTTAGGCTTTTAAGTTTTGCAGTTATATGTTTCAGAAAAAACTTTTTTTCAAAGGTTACTAATTCACGATATGACAATAATAACACAAAAAAATTACATACAAAGCAAATGCTTTTACCTCACAAGTGTTGTAATCTTCAGAATCCAATAGGCCACACAGTTTTGGTAAGAGATCAGGCCAATTCTGTAATTCTCCTTTGGAGGCTATGGTTGTAATCAAAATACCTTAAAAGAAAACACACACTTTTAGGAAATCTGACAGTATTATGTTAGATATTGCTGTGTGAACAACCAGGCACAACTCCCCACTCCCCCAACACACACACATCCCAAATCAGCCTAAGACTTCCAAACCATGTAAATAGTTAACATTCATCAAGGACCCCCATATCACTATAAAACATCTGTGGAAAAACCATAGCATCAATCAGCTGTTTCTAATCTTGTTTTCCTACACTTTACCCTCTTCTTTATTTTTAATAAATATCTGTACAGGCTTCAACTTGCTCTTTTCCAACAATACCAAGAATAGTTCTACTAATTAGAATTACTCCTATTTTATAGAAATTACATATAAAAGAGTAAAAAGAAAATATACCGAAATGTTGGCAGCATTTACCACTGAGTGATGAGGACTCTATTAGGTTCAAACAAAAACATATCAAGAAGCTAAGAACAGGGCCGCCTTTTGCCAGCTGCTCCATGGCCCCAGGGAGGCTGAGGAGGAGCTGCAGACTCCAACTGACTAAGAGACGCGGGAATGGAGTTGGAGGAAAGATAACTTTACTTTTTTTAGTAGAAGACGTGATTTATCTAAGATAAGAAAACTTCCCTAAGGAGAAAAAAAAAATGGTGTAGACGATAGAGGCTCTATTCATCCATCTGGCAACCAAATCAAAGTTGTGACTGACACAAGGAGCTGCAGCAAGGAAAAATCGCCTGGGATCTAGAGGAACAAGCCATACAACTAGGTAGAAATCCAAGAAATCCTGCAATGGCAGAAGGGAGGACGGGGCCAGGAAGCGGGGCTGCCTGGTCCCAAGCTGCTGAGACCGAGGCTGTGGCAGTGGCAGCAGCCTCTTAAAAGGGCTGCATCCACGAGCGGATTTTCACAGTGACGGACTATTTACTCTGAGCACCAGGGACTTACAAGGAGACACCGTTAAACGTGAGGGCCGAAGCGAGACTCGAAGGGTACAGAAGTGCCTGCTGTATCTCCACTGTTCCCCCGTTGAGCCCTCCCCGGCACCACTGCGCCAGACACAGCGCCACCATAGCCCTGAAGTCCTCAAACTGGATAACAGAGGTCACTCCACCCAGAAGATTCCCTGAAATCCTGCCTCCCCCAACTCATGGCCCCACCCAAGCATATCCTCAGACAGTCAAGTGCTACTTGATGAGCAGCACCAAGACTCACACTGGAGGGAGCTGGCTTCGGTTTCTGGTGTGGCTTTTTCAGGCAATTATAAGCACAGCGTCTGTGGATTGCTTGCTGAATCTTAACAAGTGGTCTTGGAGGGGCAGAGGCTTGGGCTAAATTTGGCCTGCAGCTGAACCCCTCTCAGGACTGTGCCACTGGACTCCTACTTCACAAATCCACACTAATAAGACCGGGAGACTTAGGAGCTTTGCTTAGTACACAGAAACAGACACGGAAAGGCAGCCAAAATGGGAAGACAAACCAAAGACACAGAAACCAAATGAGAACAGAACAGAGATCCAGATATAATGCAGTCAAGTAACTTAACAGATAGAGAGTTCAAAACACTGGTTATAAAAATGCTCACTGAACTTTTGGGAAGTGTAGAGAACTTCAGTGAGAACTTCAACAAAGAGATAAAAAAAATAAAAATGGAAATTATAAAAGGGAACCAGTCTGAAGTGCATAATACATTATCTGAGATGAGAAGTATATTAAAAGGAATAAACAAAGGAATAAACAAAGAAAAGGATCTATCTAATCTAGAAGACAGGAAAGCCAAGAACACCAATCAGAATGGCAAGAGATGAGATGCCAAGACTTTAAAAATAATTTAAGGAGCATATGACACACTATTAAGGGTCCAAATATCCATCTGATTAGTGTAACTGAAGGAAATCAAGATGTTGAACAGCTGTTTGAAGAAATAATGATGGAAAACTTCCCTAACCTGGTGAAGGAAATGGACATAAAATCTCAAGAAGCGCAGAGAATTCCCAAACTCAGGGATCCAAAGAGGTCCACACCAAGACACATCATAATTAAAATGCCAAAGGTTAAATACAAAGAAAGAATATTAAAAGCAGCAAGAGAAAAACAGAGTTACTTGTAAGGGAACACTCATAAGACTGGCAGCTGATTTCTAAAAAGAAACTATGCAGGACAGAAGGGCTTGTCAAAAAATATTCGACAGGTCTATGGCCATGCCACCCTGAACACGCCTAATCCCGTTTGGTCTCAGAAGCTAAGTAAGGTCGGGCCTTGTTAGTACTTGGATGGAAGACCACCTGGGAATCCCAGGTACTGTAGGCTTAAAAAGAAAATATTCGACAGGATGAAGACCCAGGATCTACAACCAAGAATAATTTATTCAGCAAAGCTATGATTTAGAGTTGAAAAACAGATAAAGAGCTTCTCAGACAAAAAGAAGCTAAAGGAATTTATCAGCACCAAGCCAGTATTACAGGAAATGTTGGAGGGATTTCTTTAAGAAGAAAAAACATGTATCAAAAACAGGAATAAAGAATGGTAACGACTACATTCCTATCAACAAGTACCTCAAATGGAAAAGAATTAAGTGCTCCAACTAAAAGATAGAGTAGATGAATGGAAATAAAAACAAGACCCCTACATGTTGCCTATAAGAGCCTGACTTCAGATTAAAAGACACACATAGACTAAAACGAAGGGGAAAGAAAAAGATATTGCTTTGATGGACCTAGAAGGTATTTAAGTCAGATGGAGAAAGATAAACACTATGTGAGTTCATTTATATGAAGAATCTAAGGAATAAAAAGAACAAACTAATCAAAAACAGACTCACAAATATAGTGGACGATTTGATAATGGACAGGGGGTGGGGCTGGGAGAATGGGGTGAATGGTTAAAGTACAAATTAGTAGCTGATGAATGGTCACAGGGATGGGAAGCACAGCATAGGGAATGCAATTAGCATTAATATGTTGGCTAGGTAGAGGGTCAGGGAGGGAGGGAGCAATTGGGGGATCATTTTATGAACTATATAGATGTCTAACCAATGTACTGTATACCTGAATCTAATTAAAATAAATAAACTTAGAAAATAAAAAAGAAGCAGCTAAGAACAGCTCTCTGACTTAACCTGGGATCACAGCCATGGACCACAGTAGGGAGAAAGTAGATAAGCCACAAATGGAGAACAATCTTATATGTTCACTGTTTTCAACAATCCCTCTAGAGTGGACAGGCCACAATCCTACAGTTTCTCACTTACTGCATCAAAAGTGAATCACTGGCAAGGTGATCTTGGAGGTTGAGTGGCATATGTTGACTGATGATATCACTTTGACTGGATTATTTGAACTGTGTTGTGCAGCTTAGTTGAGATAGTTAATGGATTATGCAAATAAGACAAATTTGTAACACAAAGTTTTGTGTTAATATTTTTCTCGGCCTTAGTAAATTTAATATTAGTAACATAATATGCTTGGTGATTATAGGCCTTTTAGTATCATAATTAAGAGTACAAACGCTGATAGGCAAAGTATGTTTTCTAAGCTTCAAAATACTAATCTGCAAAAATGAAAAAAAAAGTGCTTTCTTAGTTATTTTGAGAATTCAGTGAGATATGCACACAAAATGTGTGCTTGGCATATAGTAACTGCTCAATGATTATTACTAAATAGCAAATTCCACTGATTGTGTGAATAAATTTTCTTTGAATTTTTTTGTTAGATTGAGAAGGTTGCTCCCAATGGTAAAGAGCTAAAAAAGGTAAAAAGTTGTTGGCCAACATTTACTCTTCACTAAAAAAATTAAATTATATGGTGAAGGTCAATGTATTGATAGCACTTTAAATATATAACCTTATAGTAAACAGACTTCTAGTACGATAAGAAAGCAGCAATACTAACAGACCTGTTCCTTCTTGTCAATTATTCCTTTCCAAAGTTAAAATATGGAAGAATTGAGGGAAAAAGAAAGCTCTGGATTTGCCTAAAAGAAACCAAGCATGTCTTCAAACAAGCAATAATAAAAACTAAACAAACGACATGGTATACTAATTGGTGACATTATTTTTGCTAGGAAAGCATTAAAAAATGTTGATAGACTGACATTCAAATTTATCTGGCCCAAGAGAATCTCATCCATTCCTGAAAAATCTTCTAATGTCCAACATAGTTGCAAAAAGTAAAAAATTATATTACTCTGTGTACAGAATAAAGATGGGAGTGAACACTGGTGTCCTCGGCATACATATTAAAATTTTAAATATTTTACACTTTGACCCAGTAACACTTATATGAATTCTATGGAAAATGCCCCAGAAGTTTATAAACACACATAAAAGGATGTTTAGTGAAATATTAAAATTACAAACCAACCACATATTCTTTAACAGGAGAAACAATTTTAAATTCATATAATGGTTTGATTACCACAGTCAGTGAAATATGGTCCTTCCAATTTTACCTCCTTGGCAAGATTCCCAATACGTACTGTTAAAACATTTTAAAAAGGTAGGCACACACATTCTTTTTACCAGTGTCAAAACTTGGTAGAGCATTAGGAGTATATGAAGGTCCACAAGAATAACCTAGGGAGTCCCTTTGCTCAAATTACAAATGCCCTTTACCTATTCTATTTAAAATCACCGTTAATAATGGCAATGTTTAATATGTGAATATCTGGAAGGTAATCACAGAGTCTCTGCTTTTTAAGTAAGAGATGAAATGGGTACTTTTCAAACCCACCATGACACAAAATATACAAAAGTAAGTAACTTTTAATGAAAACGATTGTCTCTTTTTGAAGGTTAACCGACTTTCGTTTAACCAACTTGACAGATTAACAGACACTTTCCAGATCTCTGTAAAATTGAGCTGCTTAAGTCCCATGGCATACTGAATGCTGCCCATTAGCAGGCTACTCTAGAGCACACCTTCCTATTTCTGCTTCCACCAGGTAATACATGTACTTACCAACCGTTAGTTGTGCTTATACCAGTTATTATAATTAAGCATTTTAACCCAGTATTACATAAGATGATACAAAGTCGCTTTACTGAAAATAAGTCAAACACTCTGAAAAAACTAAAAACTTGCTGTACAATAAGTCTGTAATGCTGTTGATAGGTTCTGAGACTTTAACAGAAATGACATGTAACAAAACCAATTTTACCATAGAGTAATTGACAAGTTAGGTTCCTACAGCTCTCATCAATGTTATGATGAAACAATGTTGAATGAAATGACATTATTTGAGGACTTGCTGTAATTATGTGTAAACAATGCAAATTTTAAAAACGGGAGAAAATCGTAAAAATTTAAGGTCCTATCCTTCAGAAAGTGAAACTAGAAATCATACCCAATGTATTACATAAGGAAGACAGATAATAAGGAAGTCAAAAAAAAAAAAAAAAAAAGCAGTAATCCTAAATTAATTTTATTTGTTAATGCCCCATTTTAACCAACTTTGATTAAGCAGCTACCAAAAACCTTGGTCTCAATAGATGAAAGCTTTTATTGTAACATATATATTTTATCAAAAGCATTTAAGAGTGGCAATGAAAAATTTCCATCACAATTCAACATGAAATGGATGACACAAATTCCTATAAAAATGGTCTGTCATACCAAAAAAACAATCCAGTTACAAATAAGATAAACAAAACTGTAATAATATAACTTACCTACAGTGGCTCTGATCAGAGGAGAGGAGTCACCAATATTGTTTAAACATTCACTCTTAATGAAATCTGTTACACCATTTGGGAAGTTCTGAAAATGTGCTTTCACATTATTCTTCAAAATGAGACCACTCAATGATCTTGTGGGTTCATCTGCAATAAAATAACAATAGTGTTGAATTTTAAAGTAGTTTTAATTTCAAAATGTAACAAGAACAGTAACTTTAAAAATGTTTATATTCAAAAATTGACCGCAACATTCTAATAATTTTGCTACTACCAGGAAAAAAACCCTACCATAATAATTTCAAAAGATTAGCTCCATGATTTATATATACTTCGGGGTTTCTCAACCTTGGCACTATTGACATCTTGGGCCAGATAATTCTTTGTTGTGGGGGTGTTGTGCTGTGCATTTTAAGACGTTTTGCACTATCACTGGCCACAAATGCCAGTACCACCTCTCCAAGTTATGACAACCAAAACTGTTTCCAGATGATGTCAAATTGGGTGGGGGAGGGCAAACACACATGATGACTGCACCTGGTTGAAAACTACTGATTTAGTTTAAGCTAATTTACTTTATATATGACCACTGTACTCAAGCATTATTGAAACCTGATATAAACATCAAATTAGAGATCTGAAAGTATTAGTCAGTAAAAATATCCTATTAAAAAATTAAGTGGACAAAGAATATATGGGATCAACTTCACATACTAACTGCTGTTAATTTATACATTTTTCACTTGCCTCTGAGCTAAAAAAAAAAAGGTAAAACAATTTAAAACTTTCCAGAGGTATTTTAAACATAGTATTTTATAAAAGTTTGATTCATAGATGTTAATGAATTTTAAATAAGCAATTTAATACCTGTAGAATATAACTGATGAGTTATCAATTGGCATCACCATCAACATCAGTAATAATTAACATCTGAATGCTTATTAGATACTAAACACTACTAAGTGCCTTCCAAGGAGTTTGTATTTAACCCTCACAACCTTGTGAGACAGAAATTATTATTCCCACTGCACAAGTTAAGAAATCGAGGCCTTTGCCAAAGACAGGCAAGGCTACTAAGTGGGGAAGCCAAAATATCAACCTCATGAGTCTGGCTCAGAGCCTGCACTTAAGGCACTGCAGTCTCACCCTCCTCAAAGGGCTGGAAGACATGAAGACCTGGTTTACTGACCAGGATATGCTATTATAGCACTACTGTTTCACATACCTATTAAAAAATAAAATACTCAGGCTCATTCCAGTATGCTCCCAAAGTCTGATTGGCATTGCAATCTTCAATGGTGAAACATATGGAAAAGCAAAAAGATAGCAAATTTTCTTTGCATATAAATTACACTCAGGCTATTACAGCAAAACCTAAGAGGTTTTGCCACCACTTAAAAACTTCTGGTTTCAATTATAACCCATTCCAATAGGAAGCTTAAAATGAAAATAAAAAAACTTCTCTTGAAAGTTTAAAATTGCTATAGAATAAATGAATACCCAAATATTTAACTTCCTCAAGCAATATTTTTTGTCTTAAGTTAGACCTTAATAATTCAGTCATGTAATTTTATTTTAAATGGCTTATATATCTGTTTATTAGAAATAAACTACATTCTCTGTCCAAAATCCATCTAAAAGAGCCACCAATTAACCACCTCTTCTTTAAAAAAAACTAAGACTTTATTTCACTAGCCTTAATTTGCTCATCTGTAATGTGAGGGAATTAGACACGCTCATGTGAGGTCTCTTCCAGATCTATTTTACTCCACAATTCAGTGTAAACAAATACACGTAAGGAATGGTGAGCATATTCATTTTAAGATGTTACTCATGTTTCTTTTCTAATATGGATGACCATTATTTAATAGAAGACTAGATATAATAAACTTGTATCCCAAATAAATGAGTAAACAGAAGAAATCTTGTATAATACAAATGTAAAAATCCTACAATGTCCTTTAAGAGATGGTGACTAAGAGAAAAAAGAAATAGAAAAAAAAAAAAAGAAATTTTAGTTAGTGTCAAGAAAACCTGAATAAAACCCTAACATTTTATGGTTTTGTAATTAATAGGTCTTTTGGATGCAGTTACACCCAACCTCTCTTGGTATATTAATTGTTTGCTTTTAAAAATACTTGACATACCCTTATATTCCAAGAAAGCTTTAAGAGTACAATGTTGTAGCAATCTTAATATTTGGAATTTAGGATGAGGACATGACAGAGTAGACAGCTTTGTTAAATAAGCTTAAAATTTAAGTAAAACAATTATAATTCAGAAAAATTCATTATCTAAATACATATGCTTAAAAAAAGGCATTAATTACAAACTACTATAGTATGTGGGGAAAATAAACTTTCTATATTAGGAAACAATGTATCGTAAGTAAATAAACTTTCTATATTAAGAAACAATGTATCATAAGTATACATATCAAACTAGAAATATTAATTGAATTTAAAGATATGCTAATGGAATTTCTAGTTTCTTAAAACCCAAATTTAGTAAGTTTTAATTTTTATTACTTCCCTCAATCATAAATTACAACCCCTACAATTATGTAGAAAATTATCTGAAAATAATTATAAATAAGTCACTATACTGTACATGGATCATCAAAATCTGAATTCAAGATTAGTAAGATTTTACTAGACATTAAAGCTGTTAACCCATTAGAGCTTGAAATTCAAACCTTACAGATGGCATTTTACACAGGCATTTTATTAGCTGAAAAAAGCAAGAGAGGTGAAATGAGGGTCAGAGTCTAAGATTTGTTTCCTAACTCTAAGTAGTGTTTTTACTAACTGCACTATGGCTTCTGAAAAACTAATCACTGAATAGGGCATAGAGTGTTTTCATTTAGAGGCCAGTCATTCAACATTTGAGTGCCTTCTGTGTCTGACAAGAAGGGAATACTCAATACTCAAAAATCTCTATAAGAACACTTCTCAGTACAATGTAAACTCCATGAGGGCAGAGAGTCTTGTTTATTTTGTTCACTGTTATTGCCCCTGAGCCTGTAAACTGCCTGGCAAAGAAGTGGTATGAATAAAGGCTAGTGGGACACTTACGTACATTAGAAACAAATGACCGTTATCATTTAAAAATTGGACTAGTTTTCAGGCTTTAAATTGCCACAGAAGCAATTTAAATTTAAAATTGTTGTAGGATAGTTAATGAAAAAGTTTCATGTATACTGTTAACAACTTTTTAAAAAGTTATAAGTCTATGAATAAAATGATCCTGTTTTTCCACTAAATTTTAAAATAGTGCACAATCACATAAAATAGTGCACAATCATATCTTTGGGTGAAAGAATTATAAATGGTTTTTCATTTTGTTTATATGAACTTTCCATTGTTTTCTATAAACACATGTATATTCGATTAGTAAACCCTGCATTCAACCTGTGTATTAAAATCAATAAATCTTCATGATATTCATGTACGAGGATTGAAGCAAAATCTTAAAATAGAGTTTGTAGTACTCTTTTCATCTGTAAAGAACAGAGAACTTACTATAAAAACACCCAATTAACTGAATGTTTATAAATAAGCATCTAAATGCATAGAGTGGTAGTACCTCAAGTCTCTGCTCATTCCATCTCTGTAAAGCAAGTGGTTACTACAAAATGAAATTCTTTGAAATGAGTATTTCCCTTGTTTTTTCGTGGGCCTTCTAAAGACACTTTTAGTAGTTATCAATAGACCCTACTTACCTTCAGATTTTAATTTTGTCAGAACAAAAATCAGGTAGTTGTTAAAATCTGGATATTGATTGAGTTGTTCCAGTTTCTAGAACAAACAGTAGTTAAGGAAACTTCTCAATGTAATCTAAGGAAGAAATTAAGCATTTTTAATCTAAAATTAAGAATCCCTTTTGTGGTATCTTTAGCCTTGTATTTTTTTTCCCAGTAAGAATAAGTTTATCTTATTAAAACCATCAATATGCTATTCCAAAAACATACTAGTGGTTGTTTAAATCTCTTAGGTGCTTTATGGCTGAAACAGTAAATTTAGTATTTTTTTATCAATTATATCCGATACAACATTAGCCAAGTTCCACCTTCAGCATGCTCAACATAGCAAAAAGTTTTTTCAAAACAGAATTTAATTTAAACCTTAAAAACCCTAACCAGAAAGGTATTTAATGACAAAAACAAAAGTATCACTAAGAAATGAAGTCGTTTAAAGATATTTAACTTTACAAAATGGCTTTTTAACTTAAAAAACTGTTTTAGACTAATTTGTTTAGAGTTCAAAAATTAAGATAAAATATCATTTATGCACAATCCTGTCAAATTTTATTACATAATATAATATTATGAAATTACGACACTGTAACAGTTTTACAATTCTCTACCACCCCACAAACCCTAACATTTCCAGTGACACAATTTGCAGGTATTTTATTGTTGGCAGACAACAGTGACATCATGCTCTAATTGATCTTTCTTCATGCTCTCTTAACCTCTAATATGCTTTTCAATAACATCCTTAATTGTTTTAACAAATATTCAAATGATATTACTCAATGGATTTAACTTAAAAAATAAATAAATAAAACCAAGATACGAACTCAAAGTACACTGTATTTATCTGTTACATACTAGAAGACCCTCAATGTTTAGTGGAAAGAATGTATACTGACTAGCAAAATACACTATCTAGAAAAATTCCAAGGTACAACTACTTTCTTTAACCAAGAAAACATGCTATTTCTTTCTTTAGTGCATGGCCAAGGCTAACAGCATGGTGATAAGTTAATAGATTTTTCATAAACATTTCCCGACAAGGTTTACTTTCTTACAACTTGAGCTATCTATCCCTACTATTATTAGAATGGTCTTTCAAAAAGTGCTCAAGCCTATATAAAAACAATAATTAAATACATCATTTTCTAAGGCGACACAAAAGAACATCATTAGGCACTTTGAAAATATAAAGCAGTGCAGATTTTTAAGACTGTTCTCCTCTACCTGCTGAAACTTAACTTGTTCCTTTCAGAGAGGGTATACAATGCTCCAGGCACACAGAATAAACTGTAAATCTGTTAGCCCAAACACAGCACCAGATACATAAAAGGTACTTAATAAATACATACTAAAACAAGCAATTATGATAGAGCTGCAGAAGAAATTACAGTGCGGTTTTGGGCTAACTTAAGAAATAACGGGACACCTACAATTCATTTAGTATCACCTTCTATCACTCTTAGAACTATAACACCAGTTAAAACTGAACCATAACAAGGTTTCAGATACAAGCTCCAATACACCCTCAAACTGCTTCCCTTGGTACTAGTTGTTTTCAAAAGAAATGGCTTAAAAAAAAAAAAAATCAAACAGACCATCTGCTCCCCCTCCCATTTTAAATAAGCATTATATTAACCAAGCTAGGTACTTAGCTATTGTAATTTTGTTACAGCAATGCAGTTTTCTTCTAACCTTATTTACAGCGCTTTTCACGTAATTCTATATAATTATTTTCGTAGTTTTAAATTTAAGCCCAAACTACACTAAAAAGTTTATTTACCAAATTCCATATTAAGTAATTTTGATGCTTATTATCAATAAAAATCAGGAGGCTTTTCTGCAAAAATAGCAGACTTAAGTTTTTTAAAGAATTAACTTCCTTGGTCTTAAAATAACAGATAAAAGGGCTATTTATGATCAGGTGAGTGAATGTTTCCTTCATTGAATCCATTAAGAATTCTCCATTCGCCCACAATTTAGGGCACTACAGAAAGCACACATAGCAGAGGTTTTGCTTAACGATTTCTATCTTGAAAACCGTAGCAACAGGACCGCTACGCCAGCAAACTCTGTAGACTTGAATAACTGAGCCGTCTCGAGCCAAAAGATTTAAAAAGAAAAATCTCATTTGGGAGCCAGGGAGCTTTGCAACAGGTGTTCGCGGCAACAGCCCAGGGTGAGGCCTGAGACCCCATACTTACAGGTCTCCAGCTTTTTTTACGGCAAGGGCCTGGAAGTAACCCCAGGCCCAACCCCGCCGCAATTCATAACCCGCGCCAGCTCCACCCCATTTCTGGCCGGACGCTCTGCAGGCGAGCTCCGAACGCACACAGCGCCCTCCAGCCGGCCTCTCGCTCTGTCTGCATGCCCCGCCACGCCGGGAGCATTGTGGGCCGGGGCGACGGGGGTCTGCGCCGGCACCCAGGCCGCTCCTGCCCGCACACTCTCCACTCCGTCGGCAGGTCAACGGCGGGTGGGAGGGGACGTGGCTACCCCGTCGACGCACATGTCGCGATCTCGGGCGGCGGCCCGGAGCCCCAGCCTCCCGCGGACCGGA